ACAGTAAATTCTGGGTTAGAGATATATGTCCTGCAGGACTACAAAAGATAGAAATAGTAGATTCTGGGTGCTTCCACTCTGGATTACTCTGTTCTGATGCTAAATTGGCTTTCTTTCAGGTAGAAGAAACATCTTGACCCCAAATGACAGCAGCGTTGAAGTTTGGAGCACAACCATGGATTTGCCAACTCCTATAAGCCCAAAGAAAATAAACGCCACCTACTTGGGAATTAGCATGAAACCAACCAGCAGACATTAATGGCTTCTTAAACATCTGCCTTTATTAAACATCTGGGCCCCAGGGTCAAAATATTATTCCTATCTGTTGATGAATTAAACATTCTTCTGGTGCCCTCCACGGAATCTATCCACAGTCCTTTTATCCCGATTATTGGAAGGGAGTCAATCTCTCTCTCTCTCTCTCTCTCTCTCTCTCTCTCTCTCTCTCTCTCTCTCTCTCTCTCTCTCTCTCTCTCTCTCTCCCTCCCTCTCTCTCTCTCTCTCTCTCTCTCATATTCCAAATGCTTTCTATAATATTGGAAAAGGCCACGTTATTATATTTTACGAGGAATACTTTTTAGAGGTTGTGGATCATTCTGTCAAAGAGGACCAAGGTTGAGGGGTGGGAGAAGGACCCACATATTCCTTTTGTGACCGGAAGATTAATAACAAGGGCAAAAATGACGGTTTGAAACACATTTCTTACTTGTTTGCTGCTCAGTTTCTGGGCTGCTCAGCTAGTCTATGGTTTACAATATTTTATTTATTTATGTGTATCCCGCCTTGATTATTCTTACAAGTAACTCAAGATAGCGAACATAGCCTACGCACCTCCCTCCTTCTATTTTCCCCACAATCACAACCCTGTGAGGTGGCTTGGACTGAGAGGGAAGGACTGGCCCAAAGTCGCCCACCTGGCTTTCATGCCAAAGGCGGGACTAGAACTCACCGTCTCCTGGTGATTGGCCCAAAGTCGCCCACCTGGCTTTCATGCCAAAAGTGGGACTAGAACTCACCATCTCCTGGTGATTGGCCCAAAGTCACCCAGCCGGCTGTCATGCCAAAGGCGGGACTAGAACTCACAGTCTCCTGGTGATTGGCTCAAAGTCACACAGCCGGCTTTCATGCCAAAGGCGGGACTAGAACTCACAGTCTCCTGGCGATTGGCCCAAAGTCACCCAACCACTTAGCATTATGACCTTCTTTCTCAGACCTGGGGAGTCATAATAGGGGTGGAGGTGAACGGGAAGATAACTGAGAATCCCAAAGAGAGGAAAGGCTTGGGTGGCTGAGGGGGTAGGGGGCGGGGGGTTGGGGAGTTGAGCTGAAAAAACCCCAACTTTGCTGGGAGAAAGTCGAAGAACGGTTGAAGCTTGTATCTGGGTTTGACAATAAGATCCCAGCATGTCCAAGTCGTCTCCACCTCCAGGAGACCACCATGGGGTTACCTCTCAGCAGCTGGGGCTGTCTGGTGCTTGTTCTAACAGGTGAGAGATGGGCACTTCCTATTGGCTGAAATTATGGTAAGGGGTGGTGAATGTATGTGATGGGGAGAAAACCCCCCACTGCTTGCATTTCCTTTAATGCTAGATGTACCTTTCTTGATATGGTCTCCACCATCCTTGGAAGGCCACGTTAGCTGATGATAGTGGGATTCATCTAAAACAGGCGTCTTCAAACTTGGCAACTTTCAGACTTGTAGACTTTCAAGTCGAAATCCCCGCGTCTTCGAGAGGGGCAGCAGACAAGTGTCATAAATTAATAAATCAACACATCAATAAATTAATGAAGCAATAAACAAACGAGCAGGGCATTGTGGCGCTAACATGACGTCTCTCATGCTGACTGGAAATAAGGCACTCATGTCACCTTGGGAGGTGACTGTTTTAACGTGCTGTGTTAAAAATCTGACGATAAGTCTGTTCATTCTAAAACAGTGATGGCGAACCTTTTAGAGACCGAGTGCCCAAACTGCAACCCAAAACCCACGTATGCATCATCGGGTGCCGTGTGGGTGTGGCCCATTGAGTGGGCGTGGCCAATTGGGTGGGCATAGCCACCGTGGTAATGGCAGACTGGGTGGGACTAAAAAGTTCAATCAATCAATTGCAACTTTGCAAGATCTTTTTTTTCCCGCGAGAAGTTGAAATTGACTGATTGAACGTTTTGGTTTTTTTTGCACACGGCGGCGGAGGCCTAAAGCAAAAAGGTTTTATAAAACCCAGCTGAAGGCCTAGGACTGGGCAACCGTGTGCATGCCCACAGAGAGGGCTCTGAGTGCCGCCTCTGGCACCCGTGCCATAGGTTCGCCACCACTGTTGTAAACGATGCACAGAATTCCAACCAGGGTCAAAATCTGAAAGCGTCTTTGGGATGTCTTGGCAGCAAAAACTGGAACTGCCTCTTCGCTGCTCTCCTTGACTGTTTCTTAGACCTGTCCGGTTTTCTCTCCACAGCTCACATCTTGACTTCGCTTTTGGTGTTGGCACAAGTTGGCAGAGAGATAACCATTGTGATCCACATGGAGCCTCAACTCCCTAAGCTGGGAGAGGCTGTCACCCTTTTCCCAGGAGAAATGAAGAACGACACCATCTCCTGTGTGTGGTACAAAGGAGAAAACGAATCCTTGGCGTACTCTGAAATCTTGATTTATTATATACAGAATCATACAGTCTATTTCAAGGCGGCCTACGATAAGAGGCACTTTATTGGGAAGGACTGCCTCCTACACCTCCACAACCTTAGATCGGACGATAGGGCCATATATGCAATACACAAGAAGAGGGTTGGCCTAACGGAAAAAGGTCAGAATGTCTTAAAGATTTCCAGAGGTCAACGTACCCTTTCCACAATTCTGCCGTACAGATTGTTGATCTGGTGGTGCATTTGGTTCAACAGCTACTAGCCATGTTCCGCTTTGAGTCTGGGGCCAATAAAATTGTGGAAACAGTGGTTTGTTGAGCAACTTGATTTTTGTCCCGCCGTTATTATTTTTATAAATAACTCGAGGCAGCAAGGATACCTAATACTCTTTCCTCCTCCTGTTTTCCCCACAATGACAACCCTGTGAAGTGGGCTGTGCTGAGAAGGAGGGATTGGCCCAAAGTCACCCAGTCGGCTTTCATGGCTAAGATGAGACTAGAACTCGCTGTCACCTGGTGATTGGCCCAAAGCCATCCTGCTGGCTTCCGTGCCTAAGGCGAGACTAGAAGTGTCTGTCTCCTCGTGATTGGCCCAAAGTCACCCAGCTGACTTTCATGCCTAAACTGGGACTAGAACTCACCATCCCCTGGTGATTGGCCCAAAGTCACCTAGCTGGCTTTTACATCTAAAGCAGACTAAAACTCACTGCCTCCTGGTGATTGGCTCGGTCACCCAGCTGACTTTCATGCCTAAGGCAGGACTCAAACTCAGCACCTTCTGGGGATTGTTCCAAAGTCACCCAGCTGGCTTTCATGCCTAAGGTTGGACTAGAACTCACAGACTCCCAGTTTCTAGACTGGTGCCTTGTCAAGGAAATCCCTGCGATTGTTAAGCCAGTTGTACGATCATTACGCAAATCTGGCCTCCCTTGTTGACTTTGCTTATCCAAGGCTGGCTAGGATGGTCTCAAATGATGATCGTGTGCCTGTCTTGGATACATTTCCCAAGATGGAAATGGAGTCCCAGAGGTGATTTTTCAAAAGGCAACTGGACTTGAATGGGTGGAAACTAATCAAGGAGAGAAGCAACCTACAACTAAGGAGAAACTTCCTGACAGTTGGAACAATTAACCAGTGGAACAACCTGCCTCCAGAAGCGGTGAATGCTCCAACACTGGAAGTTTTTAAGAAGAGACTGGACAGCCATTTGTCTGAAATGCTATAGGGCAGTGATGGCGAACCTTTTAGAGACTGAGTGCCCAAACTGCAACCCAAAACCCACTTATGTATCGTCGGGTGCCGGGTGGGCGTGGCCCATTGGGTGGGTGTGGCACGTTGGGTGGGTGTGGCCCATTGGGTGGGCGTGGCTGTGGTGTTAACAGCAGACTGGGTGGGAATAAAAAGTTCAAACAATCAATTCCAACTTTGCGAGATCTTTTTTTTTTCCTGTGAGAAATTGATTGATTGATTGAACCTTTTTTTTTTTTTGCACACAGCGGCGGAAGCCTAAAGCGAAAAGGTTTTATAAAACCCAGCTGAAGGCCTAGGACTGGGGCAATGGCGCGTGTGCCCACAGAAAGGACTCTGCGTGTCACCTGTGGCACGCGACTCATAGGTTCGCCACCACGGGTATAGGGTTTCCTGCCTGAGCAGGGGGTTGGACCAGATGACCTCCAAGGTCCCTTCCAACTTTATTATTATTAAGACATTTTGCTTCTCATCCAGGAAGCTTCTTCAGTTCTGACTGAAGGGTGGAGGGTGGGAGGATTTATAATCCTTGCCGTCATCTGCTTGTTAGCGCTCTTCTTGAGAGTTTGGGGTCAAAGAGACCCCAAGACTGAGTCTCAACAGAGGGGGAGGGATAAGAGATCATCTATCTTCTCTTGACAACCCCATCCTTTCAGCAGCTGCACACACCCATTTGCCCTATTCAGGTGACCCTGAGGGTGCAGATAGACCTCCAAGCGGCCTCAACGACTCTCAGGAAGAGCGCTAACGACCAGATGACGGCAAGGGACACAAATCCTTCCACCCCCCACCGTTCAGTCGGAACTGAAGAAGCTTCTTGGATGAGAAGGAAAAGGTCTTCAAGGAAAAAAAAAAACCACAGAAAGTCCAGCTGCTTTTTGAAAAAAAATCAACGCTGGGACCCTGATTTACTCTTTCCCAATTTCTACCTTCCATCCAGGAAGGTCCCTATCTTCCAGCATTGCTCATCCCTGAAGTGGGAATCAAGAGTCACTTATTCCTCACAATGGGTCACTCACCTGCTTTGTGACTTCTTCCTCTGCCTCGAGAGCTCATAAAGGAAGGGTGGGAGGGGCTGACAGTGAGGTAGGCTGGGGAGGGGAGCTGGACTAATAGGACCCTCCCTGTATTGTCACTGACAGTGTGGGCAAAGCACGAGGGGGAAACTGAGGCGCCTGGCTGGGCATTTTGAGGCTCTCCCAGCATGTCACAAGGCCTTTTGTCCCAAATCTGCTAAGAACATCATGGCGACACTGCCCAACTACAGGAAACCATCCAAGCAGAGAACATCCCAGCTGGCATGGCTTCTCGCAGGTCTGATGGGGGGGTGTCTGTGAGGAGGGGGGGGGCAGGTCTGGGATAGCAAGGGTAGGGGGTCAAGAGATTGAGAAGGACTCTGGAGAACATCTAGGGCAGGGGTGTCAAAGTCAATTTCATTGAGGGCCACATCAGCATTGCGGTTGTCCTCATGGGGCCAGGTGGGTGTGGCCAGGGTGGGCGCAGCCTACTGGGTGGGCGTGGATGGAGTGGGTGTGGCCTACTGGGTGGGCATGGCCAGCTCTGCATCATTCGCGTCAAGGGTGCCTGGGGGGGCCTGGGCAGGAGTGGGACACATCTGGGGGTCTCTGGCAGAAGGGGGTGGGACTGGGGCAAGTGCCAAGGCATGGTGAATTTCTTCATTCCTCACAAAGGGTGACACCTCCCCAGCATGCACCCACGGGGCAGGGCTGATGCGGCAGAGTTGGTTCCTCGCTGTTTCCAGACGGCCTTGTGGAGCTAAGACTGAATGAGTTTCAGCATAGATGGCCACCACAAAATTGTACATTGGCTCCCGGCCGGCCTGGGCCAGGGCCAAGGCAGCGGGGACCATTTTTGTAGTTACTGAGTCTTACTCACTAGTCCAACCCCCTGCTCAAACAGGAAACCCTATCCCGTTTCCTACACTGTTTGCCCACATTTGTGTCCTTGTGTTGATGACACACTTCCTAACCATCTCCTCTGCCGTCCCCTTCTCCTTTTGCCTTCCATCTTTCCCAACATCAACCTCTTTTCCAAGAAGTCCTCTCTTCTCACCTGGTGGCCAAAATATCTGAGCTTTCAGCCTCAGGATCTGTCTCCCAAAGAACCGTCAGGGTTAATTTAATTTAGGATCGACTCATTTGATCTCCTTGAGGTCCAAAAGTCTTCTCCAGCACCACAATTCGAAAGCACCAATTCCTGGATGCTTAGGCTTCCTTACGGTCCAACTCTCGTAGCCCTACATTGCCACTGGGGAAACCATCGGTTTGACTAGAAAGGCAATTAAACAACCTACAAGTCAAGGCAGTCCTTGACTTATGACCACATTTGAGCCCCCCCCATTTTTGTTGTTGTTGTTAAGCAAGACATTTGCTAAACGAGCTTTGCCCCATTTCACAATCTTTCTTGCCACATTTGTTAAGCGAACCACAGCAATTGTGAAGTTAGCAACACCGTCGTTAAGTGAATCCGGCTTCCCTCCCATTGAAGGTCGCAAGAGGGGGTCACGTGACACCTCCCCCCCCCGGGGACATTGCAACTGTCATAAATACAAGTCAGTTGACCAATGTCTGAATTTGGATCACGTGACCGGTGGGAACACTGCAAGCATCCTAAGTGTGAAAAATGGTCGCACGTCCCTTCTTTAAGAGCCGTTGTAACTTTGAACGGTCACTAAATGAACTGTCCTAAGTCGAGGACCATGGCAAGAAGTGGTCCTTCTGCCAGTGACAAGAAAGTTTGTAAGACAGGGCAAAACTGACTTTTAAAATGTCTCCCTTAATGGCAGAATTTGGGGCTGTTTGGGACTCAGTCGTGGTCCTAAGCCAATGATGGCGAACCTTTTAGAGACTAAGTGCCCCAAAACTGGCCCCACCCCTGCTCCACCCCCTGCCCTGCCCCCACCCCACCTGCCTGGAGGGCTACTCACCATCTCCAGAGCCCGCCGCAGATCGCCCAGGCAGCCCAGCAACGCTATGGTGGCACGATGGGGTGTGAGGGCAGAGTTTTGTCTATGCTGCCTGGCTGCCATGTCCTTGGCTGCACTGCTCCATGCGGACCACGGGCGACTCTCCTCCATGGAGGCTGCTGGTGAGGAGGGGGTCATGGGAGGAGGCAAGACTGGGGCAACGGCACGTGTGCCCACAGAGAGGGCTCCGAGTGCCACCTCTGGCACGCGTGCCATAGGTTCGCCACCACTATCCTAAGCCAAAGACTATCGTATGTTGTTTAATTGTACCTAATTAATCATTTCGCACAGTCGTCTCCTGTGGTGACAGAGCAGGGTAACCTGGGGTCTCTTTTTCAGGTCGCAAAGTGGGAAGTCAGTCTGCCTTCTGGCGGGGCAGCTGACATTTTGTAAAGAAGCGAACGCTCAATCTTCTCTTTCTTTCGCAGCTCATCTCGCAAGTTCCTACTTTGTGTTCGTACAAGCTCAGAAGAAGATCGATTTCACCATTCTCGTAACACCACGGTACCCTTTTGAAGGGCACAACGTCAGCCTCATCCCGCAAGCGCCCCCAAACGGAACCATCTCCTGCTTATGGACCAAAGGCGAAAATAAAACTGAGATCCTGATGTATTATCCGTCGAACCACACCTTTGAGCCACTGTTTGGCTTTCATTCTGGGCACCTGCCGCTGGAAGATTGCATCCTGTTCATCTCAAATCTTTCGTATTTAGACATGGGCATGTATGGAATTATCCAAACCCTCCCTAAAAAAACGTTATACGGGGAAGGGTTCTTAATGATCACGAGAGGTAAATTCACCCGTTTGCTGTTTTTTTGTTTTAAAAAAAAACTTGTTTTCATTCTGGCTCAGCTGCTCTCAGAATTAGAATAGAATAGAATAACAGCGTTGGCAGGGACCTTGGAGGTCTTCTAGTCCAACCTCCTACTCAGGCAGGAAACCTGCACTCTTTCAGACAAATGGTGGTCCAATCTCTTCTTAAAAATTCCCAGCGTTGGAGCATTCACAATTTCTGAAGGCAAGCTGTTCCGCTGATTCATTGTTCTAATTTTCTGGAAATTTCTTCTTAGTTCTAGGTTGCTTCTCTCCTTGATTCATTTCCATCCGTTGCTTCTTGTCCTGTCCTCAGGTGCTTTGGAGAATAGCTTGACTCCCTCTTCTTTGTGGCAGCCCCTGAGATATTGGAACACTGCTATCATGTCACCCCTAGTCTTTCTTTTCATTAAACTAGACCATTATTTGACTTATTTAGAGGGGCATGCATCCAGAAACCAACATTTTGCCCTCTAGCTAACTCCGGATCACTCCGTGAATGTCACTGTGAAAACTCACCTTTTCCCAATTCGTAGCTATCTGGAGAAAGAAAATTCCCCTTTTTTACGAGCTCACCTGAATAGGAAAAATATTTTTTTTCTTCCCTAGCCTTTGACTGATCAGAGAAGCAGCCTTTTAACTCTTAAAAGCTCCAGGAAAAAATAAAAAGGCTGATTTCTTTGAATCAGCACAGGCTGAGTTAAACCTCCCTGGACTTACCATTCCAACAGAAAGAAGTTGAGCAAGGTATCTTGAGTCAGGATTTGACAAACAAATCTAGGAGCTGGCTAGGGAGGAGAAAGTCAAGTCAGATATGAAGATGACATCTGTGAAAATCCAGTGCAATAATCAAAGCAAGGTTGATTATTTTGGGACGAAGGGTTGTTTTTTAACCCGTGCCACCGTATTTGAGAAAAATCATAATACAGGTAGTCTTCAGCTTACGACAACAATTGAGCTGAACACTTCTGTGGCTAAAGAAGACAGCGGTTAAATGGGGTTTGCCCCATTTTATGACCTTTCTTGCCCAGTTGCTGAGTGAATCACGTTAAGTGAGTAACACAGATGTGAAGTGAATCTGGCTTCCCCATTGACTTTGTGCATCAAAAGGTCACAAAAATGGATCACATGATGTTGCAACCATCACAAACATGAGTCAATTGCTAAGCGTCTGAATTCTGATCACGTGACCACAGGGGTGCTGCCACTATTGTAAGCGTAAAAAGGGGCCATAAGTCACTTTTTTCAGTGCCAGCTGAATCGTCACTCAATGAAATGTTGTAAGTCTCAGATCTCAGAGTCTTAGTGGACAATCACTTAGATATGAGCCAGCCGGATGCTGCAGCTGCCAAAAAGGCCAATACAGTGCTGGGCTGCATTAACAGAGGGTTAGAATCAAGATCACGTGAAGTATTAATACCACTTTACAATGCCTTGGTAAGGCCATACTTGGAATACAGCATCCAGTTTTGGTCACCACGATGTAAAAAAGATGCAGAGACTCTAGAAAGAGTACAGAGAAGAGCAACAAAGATGATTAGGGGACTGGAGGCTAAAACATATAAGGAACGGTTGCTGGAATTGGGTATGTCTAGTTTAACGAAGAGAAGGACGAGGGGGGACACGATAGCAGCGTTCCAATATCTCAGGGGCTGCCCCAAAGAAGAGGGAGTCAAGCTATTCTCCAAAGCGCCTGAAGGCAGGACAAGAAGCAACGGATGGAAACTCATCAAGGAGAGAAGCAACCTGGAACTAAGGAGAAACTTCCTGACAGTTAGAACAATTAACCAGTGGAACAACCTTCCTCCAGAAGCGATGAATGCTCCAACACTGGAAGTTTTCAAGAAGAAACTGGACAGCCATTTGTCCGAAATGAGATAGGGTTTCCTGCCTGAGCAGGGGGTTGGACTCGATGACCTCCAAGGTCCCTTCCAACTTTATTGTTATTATTATTGTTATGTTATTGTTATTGTTATTGTTATTATTAAGTCAAGGACTATCTATCTATACATGATTTAAAAAGTAGAAAGTTGAGGTTTTATTTTATTATAAAGCATTTGGGCTATGCTTCTCAGAAGGTTTGTGTCCTCTTGTGTCCTCAGAATCAATTCCAAGAAAGAAGAACGCACTGGGCGCAGGAATTATTGCTGGAATTTCCGCTGGGTGCCTCATCGGCGTCTTGCTGGTTATAGGCTTAGTGACCTATCAGACTAGAGGATTTTCCTTAAGGTAATTGCAAATCTACAATCCCTGAACAGGGACAGTAATTTCTTCTATCCTCTGTCTTCTACCAGTTTTCTCCGTGTTTGAAGAAAGAGACTTGGCTTTAGAAATCATGTCAAAAGAAAGAGAATTTTGTACACAACAAGCGTCCCCGCTATTATTCAGCCACAAGAAAACTAAGGGCTGGTGTCAACGTCGTATTTTTCATTATTGAGTTGCCCTCGAGGCATTTTTGAAGGTTGGAGGAATCTGAAGAAATCGTTCAACTATTTGGTTTGGTGAAATTCACATAGCAAGTGCCAAGGACATGAGGAGATCCTGGCAGTTTGTAAAGATTTATTGCAAGTTTAAGTCCTCTACAAGAATCTGAACTAGTAACAGTCAAAGCCAATTGGCGATAGGTAAAAGTTAATGGAATTCAAGGAGGGCTGGATTTTAAATTTCTTGTGGGCATGAAGGGACTTGAGACTGATGACACATTTGACCCCACCCTCAGGCTTAGCCTGGTTATCTCCTACATAAAAAGGTGATTCCTGTAATCAACACCATCTCTCTCTCTCCCTCTCTCCCTCTCTCCCTCTCTCTCTCTCTCTCTCTCTCTCTCTCTCTCTCTCTCCTCTCTTCTCTCTCTTCTCTCTTGTCTCCCCCCTCTTTTTCCCCTTCTCTCTCTCTCTCTCTCTCTCTCCTCTCTCCTCTCTTCTCTCTCCTCTCTTCTCTCTCTTCTCTCTCTCTCTTCTCTGTCTCTCTCTCTCTCTTCTCTCTCTTCTCTCCCCCCTCTCTTTCTCCCCTTCTCTCTTTAGGAGTGCAACAACTGCAGAACCAGCAGGCAGTTCCCCAACCCAAGAGGCGTAAGTATTGATAGTCAAATCTGATTTAGGTTTTGCCTCGGTTTACCATTTCCAAGAAGCAACCAAGTTGGATGATCATTTAAAGCAATGTATTAGAGTCCTTTGTTAAAATGGAGCTGGAAGGAACGTTAGCCTTCTGTTTTTGGACTGTAGCTGAAGGTGTTTTGTTTATGAATAGGGTGGCCCAGTCTTTCTGAACGGATTACAAAATCTCCATTTCTAAAGACTTCAGCCTTCTGCTTGAGGCTGTTTTTTTTTCTTTTTCTTTTCCTATTTCTGCCTTTAAGAACATGTTTCTCCTCTTCTTCCTTAGGGGAAATAAAATATTCTATCTCTTTTAATATTCCCCAAATTATTTCATTCTCTAGAAGGGGGGGGCTTCCCACAATGGGAACTCCCTATGAAAAGGGAGAGCCCCAAGACCCATCTTACATCCCCTTTTATATTTAAGACATCACAGAAAAACACAAGAGGAGTTGTTGATTGGACAGGATAGAAGTCACCCCCCCTTTACGTAGGAAATCAGTTCCCTGTAGTCAAACATGTTACATATTTGCATCCCATAATATCACACATGTTCATTAAAACGAGGTCTGGCATCAGAAGGGGCGTAAAATTTAGGGGAAACGATTCGCTAAAGTACGTGAAAGTGCCAGAGAAAAGAGTTGTTCTATATTATTATATTATGGTTTTAACAATTAGTCAGAGGAACGGCTCGCCTCCAGATGTTGCGGGTGCTCCATCACTGGAGGTTTTTAGGAAGAGACTGCACAGCCATTGGTCCAGAATGGTGTAGGGCAGTGGTGGGGAACCTATGGCACGGGTGCCAGAGGTGGCACTCGGAGCCCTCTCTGTGGGCATGCACACCGTCGCCCGAATCCTAGGTCTTCAGCTGGGTTTTATAAAACTTTTTTGGTTTAGGCCTCTGCTGCCCTGTGCAAAAATTAAAAAAAAGGTTCAATCAGTCAATTTCAACTTCTCACGGGGGAAAAAAAAGATCTTGCAAAGTTGGAATGGATTGATTGAACTTTTTAGTCCCACCCAGTCTGCCGTTACCACTGCAGCCACGCCCACCCAATTGGCCACGCCCAGCCAATGGGCCACACCCAGCCAATGGGCCACACCCACCTGGCACTCGACGATGCATAAGTGGGTTTTGGGTTGCAGTTTGGGCACTCGGTCTCTAAAAGGTTCGCCATCACTGGTGTAGGGTCTCCTGTTTTAAGAGGGGGTTGGACTAGATGACCTCCAAGGTCCCTTCCAACTCTATTGTTATTCTGAAATTGTGTGTCCTATCTGAAATAGCTAAGATTTTTTCCCCCTCTGTCTCCTCCTCTTCAACCCATGTGCAAAGAAGACGGAGTTACAAATAGGACTTCGTGTTATGTACAAATCTTGACTAGCAGGCTGAATGAAGGGCACAAAAAGGTTGCTTTTCCATTGCTTCCCAAATGAAACAACCACCCTTTTAAATCCAGGTGGTCCTCGAATTACAACCATTCGTTTAGCGACCTAAGCTATAACGATGCTGGAAAAAAGGGATTGATGACCGTTTTTCACACTTACGACTTTGGCAACAGCCCCCTGCTCATTTCTGATGCTTGGCACCTGACTCACATTTATGACGGTTGCCACATCCCGGACGCCTGGGATCCTCCTTTTGCGATGTTCTGACAAGCAAAGTCAACGGGGGAAGATAGATTCACTTAACAACCTGGTTACTGATTTAACAACTGCAGTGGTTCACTTAACATATGGGGGGCGAGAAAAGCCGTAAAACACAGCAAAACTCACTTAACAAGTTTCTCCCTTATTAACGTGAATTCTGGGCTCAACTGTGCTTGTAAGTCAAGGATTACCTGTACTCTAACCATTCAACTGTACTCCAGACTATCCAGACCAGGAGGAATGGGAGAATAAGGGGAAATATTGGGAAAAAGGAAGAAATGAAAAGAAAGAACACGCTGCTGGTTTGAAGGAATTCCCGTTGAGTTGATACCTCCATTAATCCTTTTTTTCCATAGATCGACAAATAAGGAGACAAACCAACCAGGAGCCAACAAGCAGACTCAGGAAGCTGAAGGAAATAAAATGTGATGGGTCAGTTCTTCGGCATCATTGGTGCTTATCTTTTTCAAGATCTGCATACATTGGCTAAGAATGGCATACAGGTTGTCCTTGACTTACAACCGTTCTTTTAGTGGCTGTTCAAAGTTGCAACGGCACCGGAAAAAAGGGACTGATGAGCATTGTTCACACAAGTCAGCATCCCCATGGTCACAGATCAAAATTTGGGCACTTGGGGCACCTGGCGTGTATTTATGACCGTTGCAATATCCCGGGGTCATGCACTTCTGACATGCACCTTCGGACAAACAAAGTCAATGGGGAAGCCATTGGAGAATGGAGGGATTTACATTCCTTGCGGTCATCTGGTCGTTAGTACTCTTTCTGAGAATCATTCTCAACGACTGGGGAAGGTAGATTCATTTAACAGCCGAGTTACTAATTGAATGACTGAAGTGATTCTCTTAACGACCATGCCAAGAAATGGGGCAAAGCTCATTTAGCAGCTGTCCCTCTTAGCAACAGAAAATTGGGGCTCCATTGTGGTTATAAGTCGAGGACTACCTGTAGCAGACCCCCATAATTGTTTGTTAAGAAGCAATTAGACCATTGTCAAGAGTCACCAAGTTAAACCTTAAGCCAAATCTCCTGTGGTTAAAAATGGAGAATCTTTGATTCTCACCGTTTCTCAACCTGGGCGACTTTAAGATGCGTGGACTTCAACTCCCAGAATTACCCAGCCAGCCATGCTGGCTGGCTGGGGAATTCTGGGAGTTGAAGTCCACGCATCTTAAAGTCGCCCGGGTTGAAAAACACCGCTTCTCCTCGGTAGGAAGGTTTGGGGTGCTGTTGTGTTCCCGAGTGGTTTCGAAAAATCCCCTCAGCTTTTGGAAGGTTGGTCTTAACAAGATCTGAAAGGGTTGTGCTCTGATTTTTGTCGTTCTTTTCAGGTAAAAACATCGAAAAGGTCCGAATGCAACCTGCACCATGGAATTTGCAGCTATCCATCCAAGAAAAGAGGAATTCCATCCATTGGGGAAGCCAAGGCTATCTAAAACACCAGCCTTTTTACCCTCCAAAATCCCAGGGGCAGCAAAATGGCTTCCTGTGTCATGATGGAATAAAGTCCTGACTGTACAACAATTGCGGTGTGGCTTTTTGTATTCCAATTTTACTCCTCCTCCCCTCCCGCAGGACGGTGGGAAATAATGAATAATCCTTTCAATCCTTCGCTTAGTGACCGTTCAAAGCTACAACATCACCGAGAAAAGTTGAATAAGGACCATTTTTCATACTTACGACCAGGGTCAGGGGATCAAAATTTGGATGCTTGGCAACTGGTTCGTGTTTATAACGGTCACAGTATCCCAGATCACGCGATCCCCTTTTGCGACAAAGTCAACGGGGAAGCCCGATTAACAAACGCAGTGATTCATTTAACAATTGTGGCTAGAAAGTCCATAACATGGGGCAAAACTACTTAAAAATTGTCTTGCTTGGCAACAGAAATTGAGACCTTGATTGTGGCGGTTAAGCCGAGGGTGACTTGTTACTACATAGAAAAATCTAGACATTTTACTCTAAATAGCAGTGTTCCAGTGTCTGAGGGGCTGCCACAAAGACGAGGGGGTCCAATTATTCTCCAAAGCACCAGAAGGAAGGACGAGAAACAATGGTTGGAAGCTGATCAAGGAGAGAAGCAACCTGGAATTAAGGAGAAACTTCCTGACAGTGAGGACAATCAACCAGTGGAACAGCTGGCCACCAGAAATCGTGGACACTCCATTGCTGGAAGTTTTTTTTTAAAAAAACGGGACAATCACCTGTCTGAGATGGTATAGATCTGTGGTGGCGAACCTATGGCACGTGTGCCACAGGTGGCATGCAGAGCCCTCCCTGTGGGCATGCGTGCCATCGCCCCACTCCTAGGCCTTCAGCTGGGTTTTATAAAACCTTTTTGCTTTAGGCCTCCGCCGCCGTGTGCAAAAAAAAAAAAAATTCAATCAATCAATCAATTTCAACTTCTCACCCGGGAAAAAAAAGATCTTGCAAAGTTGGAATTGATTGATTGATTGAACTTTTTAGACCCAGCCAGTCTGCAATTACCACCGCAACTACGCTCACCCAATGGGCCACATCCACCCAATGGGACATGCCCACCTGGCACCCAACGATACATAAATGGATTTTGGGTTGCAATTTGGGCACTCGGTCTCTAAAAGGTTCGCCATCACTGGTATAGGTCTTCCTGCTTGAACAGGGGGCTCGACTAGAAGACCTCCAAGATCCCTTCCAGCTCTATTCTATTCTATTCTATTCTATTCTATTCTATTCTATTCTATTCTATTCTATTCTATTCTAATTAATTTATACTGTATATTGTATTGAGACAATAATAATGTGGATTAAAAAAAGAGAATAAAAAAAAATAGATCCTGACCAAATTTTTCAACCACTGTGAACACTGCCCTTTCTGTTTAGGTCTGTATCCTGAAAGGATCTAGATAATTTGACTCTGTAGCTGATTTGTTTCCACCTTCTTTTATTAAATTTTCATTTAGCGATGAGAAAAAAAAGCTTCTTGATCATGACTTCAAATAGCTTCAGATATGTAACTTTTTTAGTGTCTTCTTTACTACTGTTCTGTTGGTTTTTCAGATTTTAAAACAATGGCCCAGGACAGTTTTTCTTTAAAAAAAAAAATCCTATATCTAATTCCAATGTTTTGGACTATTATTCCATTGTAGCAGTCAGTCATTGTTGATAGAGAAGGTAGAATTAGAATTAGGAGGTGGAATTGGTTTATTTCTCATTCAGCAGTTGGAAAGCATGTTCCTGGGGGGGGGGGGAGTTCCTTACTGCTCCATAAGGAATAAAGAAAAGTTAACTTTATTTATAGCCTTAATCCAGAGATTTTATTTTCATTTGCTTGTTTCAGAGGGATCCTCTCCAGAATCCTTTGCTCACCATGACTCACATATCTGCTTTATGACCTCTTCCTGTGACCTGGAAAGGGGAGATGGGAATTCCTGCCAATGGCCCAGATTATAGAGGATAGACTGGGGATGGGTGAATGATAGATGGACTCAGTTTAGGGTTCAGAGAACCTGATGGGGGAAATAAAGGAAGAAGTTTGCCAGCTGTGCACAAAAATAATCCCCTACTATGGTTAAGACCCATCCATCCCCAAGAGTGGCAGGAATGCCATCCAGTTACCACCTGACAGTTGTTACCACCTCTGGATGTAAACAATCTTGGCTGATTTGGTTTCTAGCAGGTGAGAGGGACTCCGTTGGAATGAGGGGGGCTGAACCAATATGGGTTTGGGGGGAAATGAAGATAGATTGGACTTTAAACTGGACTGGAGAGCCAAGCTTTCTGTTAAGAGTTAGCCTGAGATTCACAGCAGCTATGGTGCACTATGTCTTGTACGTTTCTAGATCAGTGGTTCTCAACCTTTTTAATTTATTTATTTATGAGACTTATATACCGCTTTAAGTGCAAGCACTCTCTAAGCGGTGTACACCAGTAAGCAATGTATATATATATTTACATTGCCCCCATCAATCTGGGTCCTCATTTTACCTACCCCGGAAGGATGGAAGGCTGAGTCAACCTTGAGCCGGTGAGATTTGAACTGCTGACCTGCTGAACACAGTCAGCTAAAGTGGCCTGCAGTACTGCACTCTAACTGCTGCGCCACCTCGGCTGTTTTTAATGCCGCAACCCCCAACTGATCGTAAGTTGAGGACTACCCAACCGGTCTTAAGTCGAGGACTTTCCCTGCCCGGGAGCGCCGCGCATGCGTGGTGCCGCCCCCTGCGCCGGCCAAGGCGTAGCTGGCAAGCGGCAGAGACGGTGCAGGCTAACCACCGGCTGGGCCACCAGCTGGCCTAGCCCAAGGGAGGTAAGGCACCCGCCCGGCCCCACGTGCACCAGCAACCATCCCTGCACCCGCTGGCCTCCCACCTCCCACCCCTGGCCCTCTTTTACTTACATTTTTAGTAGTTGCTCAGCAGGGAGGGGTGGAAGCTTCCAGACAGCTCACCTTCGCTGCAGAAAACTTGCAGCACCGTTTGCAGATTGGGACTTTTGGCGGGCTCAGCAGGGAAGAGACAGCCTGGACAATTCCTATTGGCTTTTGAAAGCCAATAGAATTAGACTCTATTCAAGAGAGTCTATTCTATTGGTTTTCGAAAGCCAATAGAATAAAAGGGAGTAGCACAGCTAAGGAAAAGGGGGGAAAATGGCGGACTGCGTTGTTTGGCGACCCCCGTGAAATGGTCGTTCGACCCCAAATGGGGTCCCGACCCACAGGTTGAGAACCACTGGACTATTGATTTGTTCGTAGTAAATCATATAAGTATGTAATTGATGTATTTGAATGCACTACTTTTTCCTTAAAGTTTATATTTGAAAAAAAAAGTTATATTTCTTTTACCCTTTGCTGGATGTGTTACTTTATTGTCTATTTTTTGTTGTTATTATTGACTTTTGTATTCATTTGTTTGTTGTTCCTTAATCTTGAAAGCATGCAACTGTGAGTAGATCAATAGGTACCACTCTGATGGGAAAGGAACAGCGTTCCATGCCTCTCAGGAGTAGTCATGCTGGCCACGTGACCAGGGAAAGTGTCTTCAGACAATGCTGGCTCCCTCAGCTAGGAAACCGAGATGAACACTGCCCCCTAGAGTCAGACACAACTGGACAGGGGAACCTTTACCTTTATCTTAAATAATGGCACCAGAAAAAGCTCACTCTTCTAGAATGCCTCACTAGCTCCCTTCCTCAGAATCCTAAGCTTGGAAGATATTTCTTTAGTTCTGATAGTCAAGCTGCCAAAATTAGTGTTCTTTGCCAAGGTTAAATTCTTGCGGAACTAAATATGGATTTCTTTTCTTTCAATCCAGCCTATGTGTTGAGTTCTTGCCTCCACCAGGTTCAAGCTCCTACTACAACTACCATCAAAACTGTTACTCCGAGACTTCCAACTCGTCCCCCTCCCTCTACCCCTCGTCCCCCTCCCTCTACCCCTCGTCCCCCTCCCTCTACCCCCCGTCCTTCTACCCCTCGTCCCCGTCCCTCTACCCTTCGTTCCACTCCCCCTCCCCCTCCCTCTACCCCTCGTCCCCCTCCCTCTACTCCTCGTCCCCGTCCCTCTACTCCTCGACCTCGTCCCCGTCCCTCTACCCCCCGTCCTTCTACCCCTCGTCCCCGTCCCTCTACCCCTCGTCCTCGTCCCCGTCCCTCTACCCCCCGTCCTTCTACCCCTCGTCCCCGTCCTTCTACCCCTCGTCCCCGTCCTTCTACCCCTCGTCCTCGTCCCCGTCCCTCTACCCCCCGTCCTTCTACCCCTCGTCCCCGTCCCTCTACCCTTCCTCCCCCTCCCCCTCCCTCTCTTCCCTCTCGCACCTCTTCCGAGTTCCCTATAATTTCTATTAATATTGCACTGGACCCCGAGACTCCCAAGATAGGAGGGCATATCACCTTCATCCCAAGAGGAGACACCAACACCCTCAGCACCTGCAGCTGGTTTAGAGGGGGCGATGACCACGCTAAGCCGATCGTGACCTATAGCCCACCCCCTCTGTCTAAGCTGACCTTCAAAGATGGCTCCACAGGACGAGAATTTCTTAACTCGGATTGTTCCCTGCATATCAAAAATCTGACCGCTGAGGATGCGGGCTTTTACAAAGGAGTGATGGAGGAGGACAAAGAGAAGAAAGTGGGGAAAGTGTATTTGAATATTCAGGGTAAGCTTTAAAAAAAAAATCTGTAGGATAAGGCCTGGCAGGACATAGATCTGTTTGATTGCAGGGTTGTCTGTTGGGAGTGTCAAAAAAAAGTCCAGCTGGCATCCTGGACTGTGCCAATCACCTGTTTTTCAGATGCACCTCACCACGTGTTTTTACCAGCTTTGCCCATGTGAAGCTGGGGAGAGGGGGGGGAGCTTTGTCCAGTCAGGATGCCAACTTTTTAGATCCCTCCCAGATGCCTCTTGTCCACTCATGATGATTCTATCCAGCCTAAGCCACTTTAATTCACTTGCCTTCTGGTTTTTCCACAACAAGAATTCAATGAAGTGCTGGTCTAGCAATAGCCTCAGGCATGAAAACTGACTGGGGGATTTTTGGGCCAATCACCAGGAGATGGTGAGTTCTAGTTCCTCCTTAGCCATGAAAGCCAGCTGGGTGACTTTGGGCCAATCACCGGGAGACAGTGAGTTCTAGTTCCGCCTTAGCCATGAAAGCCAGCTGGGTGACTTTGGGCCAATCACCGGGAGACGGTGAGTTCTAGTCCCACCTTAGCCATGAAAGCCAGCTGGGTGACTTTGGGCCAATCACCGGGAGACGGTGAGTTCTAGTTCCGCCTTAGCCATGAAAGCCAGCTGGGTGACTTTGGGCCAATCACCGGGAGACGGTGAGTTCTAGTCCCACCTTAGCCATGAAAGCCAGCTGGGTGACTTTGGGCCAATCACCGGGAGACGGTGAGTTCTAGTTCCGCCTTAGCCATGAAAGCCAGCTGGGTGACTTTGGGCCAATCACCGGGAGACAGTGAGTTCTAGTTCCGCCTTAGCCATGAAAGCCAGCTGGGTGACTTTGGGCCAATCACCGGGAGACAGTGAGTTCTAGTCCCACCTTAGCCATGAAAGCCAGCTGGGTGACTTTGGGCCAATCACCAGGAGACTAGGTTGAGAGGGAGGGAGGGAGGGAGGGAGGGAAGGAGGGAGGGAAGGAAGGAAGGAAGGAAGGAAGGAAGGAAGGAAGGAAGGAAGGAAGGAAGTGCATCGGCACATGCCCAGATTAAATTCATATATGTGCGTTTGTGCTTTATGGAAAGTCTTTTTTATAATTAAAAAATTAAAAAAGAAAGAGTACAGAATGAGAAAATAGAAAAAAGAAAACGACCAAGAAAAGGGCCAGAAACGTTACAGATATAGAAAGAAGAGAAAAGAAAAGTAAAGACGTGACTTCTAATCTTCTTTATAACACAAATGTTCATCATTTCTCCCCTTTTATAATTACATTATATAAGATCCCTTCTTCCCCTATTCAAATCATCAAATCTAGAAATTGCCAATTCATTTTGGTCCAATTTTAGCAAAACCTCCCTAAAAAGATTCCAATTTTTTTTTATAACATTACGTATTCTTTTGTCTTTATATAAATTAAAATAAGTCATTTTTGCCATTTCTGCAAATTCTGCCATCTTCATATTCCACACCTTCGTCAAGATTTCCATTCTTGAGAGGGCCTAATTAGAAGCTAAAAATTTCATGGCTAATCTTAATTCACAGAACTGATAAAATTGTATAAAATTAAAATTCCTATGCTTATCATTTTACTTGATTAAAAGAGTATAATTTTTCTTCCTGGGTAAATTTAGGACTATTGCAGTGGTTCTCAACTTTTTTAATGCCGCAACCCCCAACCGGTCATAAGTCGAGGACTACTCAACCGGTCGTAAGTCGAGGACTACTCAACTGCAGCACCGTTTGCAGAATGGGACTTTTGGTCGGCTCAGCAGGGCAGAGACAGCCTGGACAATTCTATTCAAGAGAGTCTATTCTATTGGCTTTCAAAAGCCAATAGAATAAAAGGGAGTAGCACAGCTAAGGAAAAGGGGAAAAGAAAATGGCGGACTGCGTGGTTTGGCGACCCCCGTGAAATGGTCGTTCGACCCCAAATTGGGTCCCGACCCACAGGTTGAGAACCACTGGACTATTGATTTGTTCGTAGTAAATCATATAAGTATGTAATTGATGTATTTGAATGCACTACTTTTTCCTTAAAGTTTATATTTGAAAAAAAAAGTTATATTTCTTTTACCCTTTGCTGGATGTGTTACTTTATTGTCTATTTTTTGTTGTTGTTGTTGACTTTTGTATTCATTTGTTTGTTGTTTCAAAAAAGGACTGACTCCGTTTCCTTAATCTCCTTAAGGACAGACAGACTCAATCATGGTTTTAACAGGGAAACTATGACCATACTAGATTAAGCTAAATCCAAAAATGCTAAGGAATTCCTGGAAACCATCAACTGACACATAGAGATAAACTACATTTACACATCATTCAAAGGAGACAATAAAAAAGCTAAGAAGAAGAAAAAGAACACATTCGCTTCAACACTAACACCCAGATAAGCAGGGATTGATACCAGACAAATAAACAAACAGACAGACAGACAAGCAAACAGATAATAATGTCCTAATCAAGGAACTACCAAGAAAAAACACACACAGCCTGACCAATGCTGGTAGGGCAGGCTATTGCATATAAACATAGATCAAACCCCAGACCCTTCTAGCACTGAAAATGTTACCTAGTTGGGTAATGAAACATCTGCAGGAAAACCACCAAGCTCAGAGAGCACCAAAAATTCCAGGGTTCAACCCCGAGATACACATTTTCTCTTCTGTTCAAGGACGAACTACCGGGAAAGCAAAACAGCTTTCTGCAGGAGGCATCATAGGAATTGCAGTGTCTTCATTTTTCGTGGTCTCAATGTTTGTAGTCCTGACTGCTTATCGGATGATCAGTTCTTCTCGAAGGTAATATTTAGACTCTATTTTTTTTCAAAATTGGTGTTTGAAACATCTACGCACCATGCTGGCTTGGGAATTCTGGGAGTTGAAGTCCACAAGGCATGAAGGAGTCATTGATCTCGGGTCTATGACAATTCACTGCGGCCATCTCAGCACGGCCAACTCACTGCAGCCAACTCTCCATGGCCAACTCAACACAGCCAATTCGCCATGGCCAACTCAACATGACCAGCTTGCCATGGCCAACTCACCACAGTTGACTCGTCACAGCCAATTCAACACAGCCAGTTCACCATGGCCAACTCAACACAGCCAATTCGCCATGGCCAACTCAACATGACCAGCTTGCCATGGCCAACTCACCACAGTTGACTTGTCACAGCCAATTCAACACAGCCAGTTCGCCATGGCCAACTCAACACAGCCAATTCGCCATGGCCAACTCATCACAGCTGACTTGCCACAGCCAGTTCAACACAGCCAACTCAACATGACCAACTCAATACAGCCAATTTGCCATGGCCAACTTGGCACAACCAATTTGCTTTGGGACAAGAGTTACACTAATATCAAAGAAATGGTGGAATAGAATCATTAAAGAAAGGATGCAAAAGGAGGGATAGAATGAAATGTGAATGGCAAAAGTTAAATAATTAAGTAGAATTGTTAAATTGTCCTGCAGCAAGCTGGCCATGGCAATTTATCACAGCAACTGTGATGAGTTGCTGTGGCCAGTTGGCCATAGCAAGTTGACAGTGGCATGTTGTCCCATTCCCATCATTCCTCACCTCTGCCTCAGATGCAAGCACAGGAAAGCAAGACACAACTTGTGGAGTAACAAAGGAATTCTCACAACATTTGTTTTTCTGATTCTTTAGTAGTATTTCTCAACCTGTCCCAGCCACCAGCGTGATGGCTGTAGCATCAGCTCCAGCTGCAGCCCCGGCACCAGCCCCAGTACCAGCACCAACACAAGCAGCAAAGTAAGTTTGCCATCCCATTAAATGGTCCTCGAATGCTCTTGTTTACACCAAATGGCATTGGAGACTTGAGTGCTGCTGCCTGGAGGGGTGAACTCCTCTCATTAGCTCCAGCTCCTTGATGCAGGCATAAAAGGAGCCCCCAACTGGTTCATATTTGTGACGTTTGCAGTGTCCCGGGGTCATGTGATCCCCTTTTGTGACCTTCTGGCGAGTCAAGTCAATGGGGAAGCCAGATTCACTTAACAACCGTGCTCCTAACTTAACTGTCATGGTTCCAACAAATGAAACTCTTCAAAGTACTTCAAGGCATTGTTTATCTTAAAGAATCTTTATTCGAGTAGCATAGCTTTGGCACATACATGGTCAAAGCCGAAATCTGAATTCCCCTCCCCTAAACACATAGTATCAAAGCACAATTCCCTCTCTTAATTTACAGTCATAAATCACATTCTCCAGTTAGTTTGAAATGCAGGCTTTCCCTCCCATTCTCCAACCCACCATTTCTTTATCATCTCTTATTTCAAAAATCTCTGAATTGTTATGTCTAACTAACTCCCATCACAATCCTCCTCCTCCCCCTGTATCATCTAATTCTAAGAGTAAAGCATTGGAAAGAAAAAGGCTACATCTCCTTATGTTGTCAAAGCAAGAACATCCGATGTTAGCAGCATTGACATCAACAACTGCAATAATTCTGTTAAAAGTGAAAATTGGGCAGCTGGGTGCCTCTGTTTTCATCTTGCCGTTAGACTAAAGGAGGGGGGAGGTATTGCTTTCAAAGGGGTCAGTTAGAGAAATGAAACTTTTCCAGTTCTACAGAAATCTGCAGAGAGTCTGCAGTATGGAAAGCTTTCAAGGACATTCTAGCAGGTGCGAAGAAGATAGCAGACAGTCCCCATAACAAAGAGAACTTGTTTACATGAGCTATGTGGGCATCTGGGGGGGGGGGTTGGCTGGGAAAGTCATTGTTATATGCTAAGGTCTGATGCCTTGGGACTTTAGAGTTAGTTTTACCTTGCAATGACCATGCTGTGTATTCAATAAACAGTAAGCTTTTCAGAAATGAAATGATTCTGGATTTTTATTTGGATACTCAAGCTGGATGCTGACAGAGTGACATCTGCAGCAAGGAAGAGCAGAAAACTCATTTAGCAACCGTCTCTCTTAGCAACCGAAATTTTGGGCTCAATTGTAATCATAGGTCAAAGACTACCTGTATGTAGGTTGAGTTTAAAACTAAAGACAACTTCACTGCAACATCTCTGCTGACAACGTTGTGTTCGGAACCCTGCTTATTTTGCATGTGTGTCTTTAGGAAAACAACGGCCCCCAAGCGTAAGGCAGGACGTGGAGGTACCGCACAGCGAGGGAAGAAAGTTGCAGGCAGAGGTGGCGCAAGAACTGCCCCCAGGAGAGGACGGTAAGTTACAGACCCACGAAAGGAAGTCTGAAAACTGGTCTGTAAATTCTCACAGTTTGGAAAACACCGTGCATGTTCGTGCAACAGCAATAGCACTTAGACTTATATACCACTTCATAATGCTTTACAGCGCTCTCTAAGTGTTTTACAGAGTCAGCACATGGACCCCCCAACAATCTGGGTCCTCATTTTACTGACCTTGGAAGGATGGAAGGCTGTGTCAACCTTGAGCCAGTGAGAATTGAACTGCGCATAGTCAGCAGAATTAGCCTGCAATATTGCATTCTAAACAATATGCCACCAAGAAAGAAAGAAAGAAAATAAGAAAGTGGGAAAGTAGAAAAGGAAGGAAGGAAGGAAGGAAGGAAGGATGGGAAAGGAAAGCTAAGAAAGAAAAGAAAGGAAAGGAAGGAAGGAAGGAAGGAATGAAGGAAAGCTAAGAAAGAAAAAAGGAAAGAAAGAAAGAGGAAAGAAAGAAATAGCAATAGCATTTAGACTTACTGTATATAACGCTTCAAAAAGCTTTACAGCCCTCTCTAAGCAGTTTACAGAGTCAGCATCTTGCCCCCAACAATCTGGGTCCTCATTTTATCCACCTCAGAAGGATGGAAAGCTGAGTCGACCTTAAATCGGTGAGAATCAAACTGCTGGCAGTCGGCAGAATTAGCCTGCAATGCTGCGTCCTAACCACTGGGCCACCAGGGCTCCTTAATACAACCTGGTTAACAAAGCCATTGCTAAACAATTCACCTCTCGTACCAAGTGAGAGGAATTTTAAACTTGCTTAGCCATTTTAGTGCCTTGGTAGACTGTAGTAAGGGCAGAGAGCAGGGACTGTAGGGGGGGGGGAACCATGTGTGACCCAGCACACCTGTCAGGTGTGAACAACCACTCGCAATAGTGCATCCAGTTTTGGTCACCACGATGTAAAAAAGATGTTGAGACTCTAGAAAGAGTGCAGAGAAGAGCAACAAAGATGATCAGGGGACTGGAGGCTAAAGCATACAAGGAACGGCTGCTGGAATTGGGTATGTCTAGTTTAAGGAAGAGAAGGACGAGGGGGGACATGATTGCAGCGTTCCAATATCTCAGGGGCTGCCCCAAAGAAGAGGGAGTCAAGCTATTCTCCAAAGTGCCTGAAGGCAGGTCAAGAAACAACGGATGGAAACTAATCAAGGAGAGAAGCAACCTAGAACTAAGGAGAAACTTCCTGACAGTTAGAACAATTAATCAATGGCTTGCCTCTGTGGGTGCTTCAACACTGGAAGTTTTTAACAAGAGATTGCACAACCATTTGTCTGGAATGGTATAGACCAGGGGTAGGCAACCTTGGCTCTTTTATAACTCGTGGACTTCAACTCCCAGAATTCCTGAGCCAGCATGGCTCAGCATGGCAACCTCTCCCTTTTCCCTCAACACGGCTGGCTCAGGAATTCTGGGAGTTGAAGTCCACGAGTCATAAAAGAGCCAAGGTTGCCTACCCCTGGTATAGAGTTTCCTGCCTGAGCAGAGGGTTGGATTAGATGACCTCCAAGGTCCCTTCCAACTCTGTTATTCTGTTATAGATCCACATGTGAAGAGTTCAGTTAGCTATTTTATTACTCCTGCCTATGCCACAAGAATCTTCCCGGTCTGGCAGTTTTGCACCTGGGCCAGACTAGATAAGGTTCAAAGGGCATTCAGGGGGAAGTTGGGCTTTGGCTGTTTGTGCCTACATAAAGATTCCAGACTAATTCCTTGCTTGACTCCTCCCCCTGGTCCAGCCAGTCTCTTTCCGACAGCCAGTTGGGAATGGAGACATTTGTGTAAGACGGTGAGTTGGACCCCTTTGCTTCTACCAGCAGAGGGAGAAAAACACCATTCTTGAAGCAAACCTAGAAAACATGATGGAATAATCCAATTTAATGGGCTATGAGATTACAGGGTAGTTCTTGACTTACAACCACAGAAAGGACTAGAACATCTGTCGTTAAGCCGTGCGGCCACTGTGTACAGCATCCTAGGTCCGCTCCCGATTGTAATGACTTTTTTTTATTGCAGTTGTTAAGCGAGACATCACAACATCGTGACTTGTGACTTTCCCTGCTGGCTTCCCCAGTCACTTTGCTTGTTGGAAGCCAGCTCCGAAGGTTGTCAACAACAATCACAATCACCGCAAGACATTGCCACCGTTGTAAATGCACAACATTGCCAAATGCCTGTATCACAGTTCGCCTGAACTGAGGAACGGCGACAGTCGTAAATGCAAGAACCACTAGTAGGTCCCTTTTTTTCCCAGCACGGTCGTAACTTTGAATTGTTGCTAAACAAATGGTCGTAAGGGGAGGACTACCAGTATTAGTTAAGGAAATTGCACGGCAGGAATTTACCTCAGGGTGAAGAGACGTTGCTTTCCTGAGAGACAAATAATGGCAAAACATAGACACAGGTGGTCCTTGACTTACAACATTTCGTTTAGTGACCGTTTGAAGTTACAACAGCGCTGAAAAAGGGACTTGGGACTGGTTTTCACACTTATGACCGTTGCAGCATCTCTATGGTCACATGATCAAAATTCAGAGGCTTGGCAATTGACTCATATTTATGATGGCTGCAGTGTCCCGGCGTGACGTGATCTCGCTTTGCGACCTTCTTATAAGCAAAGTTAAGGGGGAACCCAGCTTCGCTTAACAACTGCGTTATTAACTTTTAACAACTGGGGGGATTCACTTAACAACGGTGGCAAGGAAGGTCATAAAATGGGGCACAGTTCAACTGTCTTCCCTTAGCAGCAGAAATGTTGGGCTCAAATGTTGGTGGCAAGTCAAGGTCTCCGTAAATTTCATTTCTGGCTGTTGGGTCTCTTTCAGGTAAAAAGAAGAGATCGCATCCAGACCTTCAGCCTTCAAGAACAAAAATGGATCCCTTTTGGTCAATAAGGAAAAAAAAAAACACCTCTTTCGACTTGCAAATCTTTATCTATCCCTTCCTGTGGCCAAACTGACAGCAGATTCTCACAGCTCTCCTGATCCCACTAGGATCTGGGGAGGGAACACCACATCAACACTCTATGGACTGAAGAAATTAAACCTTTGCATTGTCTACCCCTGAGATTGTTCGTTTTTGACAGCTGCTTTGAATACCCAGGGTTCAGGATTTCTCTGAAAATTACGCAGACACAGGAAATTCACACTGGAAATGTGTGTTTTTCTATACGTGGAAACATCTAATCCAGAATTGTCCAACTTTGGCCATTGAAGACTTGTGGACTTCAATTCCCAGAATTCCCCAGCCAGCCAATTCTGGGAGTTGAAATCCACAAGTCTTAAAATGATCGAAGTTGGATACCCCTGATCTTTCTAGGCTTAACCTGGATCTTTGTGCCAAAATGGATGGCCCAAGGCAGTTAGATTACGCCCAATAATGTTCTTTTTCAGCTATACTAAGAATCCAGAGCCCATGAAGACATTCTGAGGAACGTGGATCATTCTTATGAGCCCAGAAGAACATTCTGAAGTATATTGGTTGATAAAGTGCCAAACTTTTGGAAAAGGGGGAAAGATCTATCCAAGGCTGTCCACGTTGACTTTTGAAACTGGTTTCCCGCATATCACAAGCCTTGCTCTCCTAAATTTATTCAAGTGACTTAGCAAGGAGCAGCTGAGAAGATCCTGAGAACTTCAGATCCTCCAGCTTTCTGCTATGTTCTCCTTAGCATCGAACGTCTAAGACCAGCTGTCAGTGACTTTGGGGAGAGTGGGCAGAAGGAAAGGGAGGGGTCTTTTAGTAGGAACAGTAGAGTTCCTAATTCCTTCACCAACATCCCTTCACACGCCTAGACACACCAGCACATCCCACCAGAAGGTCCGAGTTCCGCGGTCGGCGTTGAACTCCCTTCGTTGGTGGGACTCCCCGGCGCTGTCACGGGGAACAGAATTCAAAGAACCAGACAGGATCACCCTCACCACAACGCCAGCCTATTTGGGTGGGGGGCACACCTCCAGTCACACTGGGCTCAAAGTCAGTGGTCCAAAAAGGATCTAAAAAACAATATAAACTGGCTGGAACTCAGAGCCATACATACGGCCCTAAAGAAATTCAGCAGCATAGTACAGGATCGGCATGTCCTGGTTCTTACCGACAACACTGCAGCCAAGGCCCATGCAACAGACAGGGGGGAACAAGGTCCAGGCCTCTCATGCAGGAGGCCCAGTTGCTGGGGTCTTGGGCAGAATTGAATCTTGCTTCCATCAGGGCGGAGCACATATCCAGAGTGACCAATCAACAGGCGGACTCACTGAGCAGAGCCACTGTGGACCGTGCCGAGTGGCAACTGGACCCGAAAGCGTTCAGAGAGATCGTGGACAGGTTTGGTTCCCCAACCTTAGACCTTTTTGCCTCCCCAACCAACTCCCAACTCCCAGATTCCTTTCCAGGTTCCCGTCTCTGTCAGCGGAAGGGACAGATGCGCTCCGCAGTCCCTGGCCCAGGGAACTACTCTATGCCTTCCCTCCCTTGGGCAGAAATATCATTTTCGAACAAGGGTTCCTTGGATGACTCCTGATGACCCATCCCACCAGGGTCTCCAACTCAGCTTTTGTTTTGTGACCTTTGGCTGTGAGTTCACAATGGCTCAGGGCAGTGGATCTGGCACTGAAGCCCTCCCAGTCTTAGTGGGAGGAAACTCTGGCGTGGGGGAGGAACATGGAACACGACCATCCAGATGGGCACAAAGATATTTGTTTAGGATGCCCATCAACAAGAATGGCAGGAACAACAGCCACCTGCTCCCTAGCCCTGAGGACTCTTTCTACGAATTGCTGCTACTGGCTTATGCTACTTTTCACATGTAAGAAACTAGTACTATTCACATGTAAGGAAATACTACTATTGGATAATGTGAACACCCGGAGGGTGGAGGTGAAGGAGTCTATCGTTTAACTAAGCAAGTTTTCGATCAGCAAAATGAGAGCTGGTTTTACTTTCTTCTGTGCCGATGTGAATTTTTCAGTAAAGTCTTCTATACTCTTGGTATAATCGTATCCCAGAAGCTTCTTTTTCTGGAACTGCAGAATGGACAGTTGGCATTATTGGGGCTGGAATGAGGTTCACTGAGAGGTATTCTTGTATTCCTTTATTGAATGTATGTGCCCCCGTCTCATTCTGAAAAGAAACACTGGGTGACTTCTATGCGTTTTTAATGCTGAGATGGAAGGTGAAGCAGGGAAGGTGAGTCAGTTGGCAACGTGAGATTTATGGACTTCAACTCCCAGAATTTCTCAGCAAGCCATAGGAATTCTGGGAGTTGAAGTCCACAAGTCCTAAAGTTGCCAAATTGGGAGAGCCCTGATCCACACAGAGAACCGGTTGTTAACATATTTGAATCCCACCACTCCCTTCCTTCCTTCCTTCCTTCCTTCCTTCCTTCCTTCCTTCCTTCCTTCCTTCCTTCCTTCCTTCCTTCCTTCCTTCCTTCTTTTCTGTGGTAGGATTCAGCCACTTCGCACCAGTTCGGCAGAACTGGTAGTTAATTTTTTGTTGCCCAAGCCCAGAATGGACCTCCAGAAGTGGCATCCACACAGAGAACCAGTTGTTTACATATTTGAATCCCACCACTGGGCAGAACACACAGCGGAAATACAAAACACTGAAGCTGTAGTGTACTGTGCCCACAGCATTTCTCTGGTCTACCAATTTAGTCCCTTTTTTTGGTGTTTTGCTCCTTCCTGCCTCTCCAGATCACCTCCTGAAACCTCTTGGCATCCGGTTGGCTGCAGCAGCTGAAAATATCACCATTGACGTGAGGGTTGATCCCGATGACCCCGACATTGGATGGGAGGTGGCATTAATTCCAGCTGGAGTGAGGAGCAACCTCCTGGCCTGCCACTGGTATCGAGGGGAGACCGATAACTTTTTGGAGATCTTAGCTTACGATCCCAAGAAAAATTCAGTGGTCTACGGCCCCGCTACCCGGCAACGAGAGCGTGTCAGGCCCGATTGTACTCTACTCATCAGAGACGTTATAATCACCGACTCTGACTTCTATGCTGTTTACAAGCGTAGTGCTAACCAATCTGAAGTGGGAACCACGCCCTTAATAGTCAGAGGTAATTGCTACTCCGCTCAGGGGTCCTTCGTCTATGGCGCTGAAATGTAATTTGTGCAATTATTATCTCACCATGCATTCCTTCAAATACAGGTAGTCGTCAACTTACGACCGCCATTGATCCCAAAATTTCTGTTGTTACGTGAGACATTTGATAAGTGAGCTTTGCCCCATTTGCTTGCCTCAGTTGTTGTCATGCCTCTGTCCGAGCCTGACTCTGAGGACGACATGGAGTTCCCTGTTGAAGCCCAGAAAGGGGTGTCTGTGGCTTCGGAGGACTGTGGGGAGGAGCAGGCTGAAGCAGGCCAGGGCCCTTCAAGTTTGGAACAGGGAAGGCAGAGGTCAGGCGAGGAGCAAGGCCCCTCCCCACCAGATCCCAGAGCAAGGAGAGCAGAGAGGAGGAGGGAACAACGGAGGCAGGCTCACTTGCTCGGGAGGAGGGTGTCCCGCCCTACTCCACAAGGCACACCTGGGGAGTAGGTATTTAAGGAGATGCTGTGGGGTGGGGCGTTTGCCGGGAACAAACGTGAACTCTTGTGATGTGAGCTCTTGTACCTGGACTCTTCGTATTTTGGATCAAGTTTGTTTCCTGCTGAATTCTCCTTGCTGTCCTCAGTTTTGCAGTTTGCAGGTTACAGGCAAGCTGGGCGTTGAAAAGATCATACTTTGTTATCTGTTTTACTTTAAAGAACTGTTTAACTCCGTTGACTGTTTTCTTGAACTTGTGCCAGCATAGGTGGAGGCTATTGGGTGAACGTTGGCAGTGCTTACAAAGACAATTATTCTGACCAGCTAATTGCTTTGCCTCCGTTCGGGGCCCTGGGTCATCACAGTTGTTAAGTGAATCACTGCATTTGTTAAGTTCATAGCACGGTGGTTAACTGTGATTTTGCTTGTCGGAAAGTCGCAAAAAGAGAACCACGTGACTTTGAGTTGAAGTCCACAAGTCATTAAGGGGCCATAGTTCCCCACCTCTGCTGTAGGCAGCATTTCTCAAGCTTGGCGGGTGTGGACTTCGACTACCAGAATTCCCTGGCCAGCATGGACCTAGAGTATTATGCAATGCCAAGTGGAGAACCAGTTTGTTGTTTCTCAACCTTGGCCACTTCAAGATGGTGGACTTCAACTCCCAGAATTCCCTGATCAGCATTGTTTCTCAACCTTGGCCACTTCAAGATGGGTGGACTTCAACTCCCAGAATTCCAGAGCCAGCATTGTTTCTTAGCCTTGGCTACTTCAAGATGGTGGACTTCAACTCCCAGAATTCCCTGACCAGCATTGTTTCTCAGCCTTGGCCACTTCAAAATGGTGGACTTCAACTCCCAAAATTCCAGAGGCAGCATTGTTTCTCAACCTTGGCCACTTCAAGATGGGTGGACTTCGTCTCCCAGAATTCCCCAGCCAGCATGGACCTAGAGTATTATGCAATGTCTTTGTTGTTTCTCAACCTTGGCAGCTATTAAGAGGTGTGACCTTCAACAGTTCTTAAAGTTGGCAAGGTTGACAAATGCCACTTTAAGATCTAATGCTCCCTTTCTTCATGACTTTTCTCTCTCTTGCCAGACAGAAGTTACTACGCCGTGGAGCGAACAACGTTGTCTCCATTAGCCATCTTAGGGATCATAGTTTCCAGTGGCACTGGCTTTGCCTTCATTCTGTCGCTGGTGCTTTACCGGACCGTGGGCCGTGTTAAAAGGTAACGTTTCGTTATTTCTCATTTTTTTTTAAAAAAAAAAATTAAGGAAGGAGACCCAGTGTAACTGTCAACACTGCTAATATTGAATATTCTTGCTTTGCCAAATATATGCAGAACTGTCTGGTATTTTTAGAGTTAAATCAGGTGACAGTGAAAGGGGAGGAGAATATAAGCAAAGCCCGGGAAAAAGAAGTAAATCTTTGCCCTCCAAGTTAATTGGAAGATGATAACTAAGATGATTAAAGGCCTGGAGACTAAAATAAATGTAGAATGGTTGCAGGAATTGGGTGTGTCTAGTGAAAAGAAGGACCAGGGGTGACATGATAGCAGTGCCCCAATATTTGAGAGGTGGCTACAAAGAAGAGGGGGTTCAGCCTATTCTCCAAAGCGCCTAAAGGCAGGATGGAACCTAATCAAGGAGAGAAGCAACCTAGAACTAAGGAGAAACTTCCTAACAGCTAGAACAATTAACCAGTGGAACAACCTGCCTCCAGAAGTTGTGGGTGTTCCAACACTGGAAGTTTTTAAGAAGAAACTGGACAGCCATTTGTCCGAAATGGTATAGGGTTACCTGCCTGAGCAGGGGGTTGGACTTGATGACCTCTAAGAGTTAGGGTTAGGATTAGGGTTTTGCATATAAGTGACCCACACAATTGTTTCTTAGTTAGTTATCAAGAATTGTAATTGCATCAAGCCTGAATGAGGAATAGTGGCCAAAAGAATTATATTAATTGTAGAGGTACAAAACTATAGAGAACTGGTTTAGCCTAGTAGTTAAGGCACCAGCTAGAAACAGCAAATGGTGAGTTCTAGTGCTGGCTCAGCCATGAAAACCAATTGGGTGACTTTGGGCCAATTGGGTGTCCTTGGACCAATCACCAGGAGATGGTGAGTTCTAGTCTCGCCTTAGGCATGAAACCAGCTGCGTGTCCTTAGGCCAATCACCTGGAGATGGTGAGTTCTAGACTTGCCTTAGTCCCGCCTTAGCCACAAAAGCCAATTGGGTGTCCTTGGACCAATCACCAGGAGATGGTGAGTTCTAGTCTCGCCTTAGGCATGAAAACCAGATGGGTGTCCTTAGGCCAATCACCTGGAGATGGTGAGTTCTAGACCTGCCTTAGTCCCGCCTTAGCCACGAAAGCCAATTGGGTGACTTTGGGCCAATCACCAGGAGATAGTCAGTTCTAGTCCCGCCTTAGCCACGAAAGCCAATTGGGTGTCCTTGGGCCAATCACTCTCTTTCTCAGCCCAACCCAGCTCACAGGGTCATTGTTGTGGGATAAATAGGAGGAGGAGCAAGTATCAGATAGGTTTTCCACCTTGTGTTATTTGTAGAAACAATAAAGGTGGGATAGAAATTGAATTTTTCATTCTGTGTATGTTGGTGTTTGGACGTCCATGCATGTCTCTGTGTGTGTATGTGTGTGTTTTCCTCCTATTTTAAGGCCTGCACGTGCTACAGAAGTGATGGGAAGTGAGCAGATTTCCCAAGTCAAGTAAGTTCCAGATCTGAATGTACGGCACGTAAGCATTCCAGGACTGCATTTTGGAGGGCGAAGGGAAATAAATCTGCCTTCCCCATTGACTTTGCTTGTCAGAAGGGTCACAAAAGACGACCACATAACCCCAGGGTATTGCAACCGGCATAAATATGGGTCAGGTGCCAATCGTCTGAATTTTGATCACGTGACCCTGGGGTTGTTGCGACAGTCGTAAGGGTGAAAAACAATCCCGAGTCCCTTTTTTTCAGGGCTGTTGAGATCCTTGGAAAAGGATGAGACCCAGAAGAGGGGGTGGGCTTCCTGGTGTGATGGGAGGGGTTTCTTTTGAGTGCATAACTCTGAAAAACCGTCTTTCTCTCACCCCGTTCATAGGATAGAGAGCCAGATTGGAAGCCAACAGAGATTAAGTGTTCCAAACATTCAACCTGGGTAAGTACAAGGAGAAGTAAAAGAGGTTTCCATTTCAAGCTCTTAATGACCATAACTGGAGTAGAGGCTTAGCTCCTCTGAAAACTCCAACTGGACCTTGAGGTTCTGTAGCCCATGGTGCTGTTCCTAATCATACTTGAACAACTTGTGACTGGCTAAGCCAAGGATATGTATGTGTATGTATGTATGCATGGTTGGTTGGTTGGGTGGGTGGGTGGATGGATGGATGGGTGGATGTGTGGTTGAGTGGGTGAATGGGAGGGTAAGTGAGTGAGTGAATGGATGGATGGATGGATGGACAGATGGATGGATGGACGGATGGACGGATGGACAGATGGATGGACAGATGGATGGACGGATGGATGGATGAGTCAATGGATGAGTGGATGGATGGATGGATGGATGGATATGTAGTTGAGTGGGTGGATGGGAGGGTAAGTGAGTGAATGGATGGATAGATGTGTGGATGGATGGATGGATGGATGGATGGATGGATGGATGTGTGGTTGAGTGGGTGGATGGGAGGGTAAGTGAGTGAATATATGGATGGATGGATCAATGGGTGGGTGGGTGGATGGATGGATGGATCAATGGGTGGGTGGGTGGATGGATGGATGGATGGATCAATGGATGGATGGATGGATGGGTGGGTGGGTGGGTGGGTGGGTGGATGGATGGATGGATGGATGGATGGATGGATGGATGGAAGGGGTGGGTGAGTGGATGGTTGGAGGAGTGGATGAATGGGTGGGTGGATGGATGGATGGATGGATGGATGGATGATGCGCCATTTGTCATGTAGACTCTAAGAGACCATGCAGATAGATGTTCTCCATGATGATCCTATCCTGTTTCTCCAAATCTTTCAGCAGTCCGCTCATCACTGCTTAACAATCTATCCACCTGATTGCTGGTTGTCCTCTTCTTCCTTCTTTCCACACTTCCCAACATTAGGACCTTTTCCAGAGAATTAGTTCTTTGCATAATGTTTCTGAAGAACAGTAAATTAAACCTGGTCACATATACCTCTTAATTCCACCCCCCCTTTTCCTCCAACACAGGGCAGAGAGTCAGCTGAGTGCCCTCAACACCAGGCCTCTGTAAGTACCTTGAGTAGAAGATCAGATAATGACTTTGAGGTGCTCACAATACATCATCTATTCATCACTGCTCCATTGCTGAATCCATACGATTCCATCTCCTACTTGCAGGTGGAGTTTCAGATTATCCTAGCAAACATTCCAAAATTGGTCTGGTTTTGAAATTAGGCTGTCCAGGTCCTACGACCACAGTGGAGCCCAAAGTTTCTGTTGCTAAGTGAGACATTCGTTCAGTGAATTCTGCTCCATTTTGTGACCTTTCTCGCCCCGGCTGTTAAGTGAATCACTGCAGTTGATAAGTTAGTAACCTGGTTGTTAAGTGAATCTGGCTTCCCCCAGGTCGCAAAAGGGGATCACAAATGACCCCGGGATACGGCGACCGTCCTAAATATGAGTCCAGTTGCCAAGCATCCGAATTTTGACCACGTGACTAGGGGGGAGGCTGCGACGGTCGTAAGTGTGAAAATCGGCCATAAGTCACTTTTTTCAGTGCCCCTGTAACTTTGAACGGTCACTAAGTGAACTGTGGTAAGGCAAGGACTGCCTGCATTTGAACGTGGCTCTTTTCTGACATTTCTATTTTATTGGGTCCTACCAATCCACAGTAGCTGAGATGTTAATTTATTTATTTATTTATTTATTTATGAGACTTATATACCGCTTTAAGTGCAAGCACTCTCTAAGCGGTGTACACCAGTAAGCAATGTATATATATATATTTACATTGCCCCAACAATCTGGGTCCTCATTTTACCTACCCCGGAAGGATGGAAGGCTGAGTCAACCTTGAGCTGGTGAGATTTGAACCGCTGACCTGCTGAACACAGTCAGCTAAAGTGGCCTGCAGTACATTTACATTGCTAGTCCGTACACTAAATAAATAAATGATAACTGTTTGGTCTTCCAGATAACGAAGAAGAAAATCAAGATTACTCTAGCCTGGAATCCTGGTGACATCCTAGTCTAAACATCAGCCCCCAGCCCCAGAGACCACCTGCTCATCTCCCTCCCCCCACAGCCAAGAGAGACGCCATCTACAGGGAGCTAACCACAAATATTGAGGGACTTCCTGGTGACTCCAAAAGTCAACATTGCTCATAATCCTCCAGAGTCCTCGGGAGCAAAGGAATCCATCACCCGTACTGATGAAATAAAAGACCTCAGTGCCCAAACTTGGACTGGACCCAACTTTATTTTCCAGAGAGTTAGTTTATTTAGAATAGAGGTGGAAGAGAACTTGGGAAATCTTCTAGTCCAGCCCAACTGCTCCAGCAGGAGACCCTATACCATTTGTGACACAGGCTTGTCCAATCTCTTCTTTAAAATCTCCAGTGATGGAGCACCCATGATTTCTGGAGGCAAGCCGTTCCACTGATTAATTGTGGAACGATTGATTAAAGGAGGACCCAGATTGTTGGGGGCAATGTAAAATATATATACATTGCTTACTGGTGTACACCGCTTAGAGAGTGCTTGCACTTAAAGCGGTATATAAGTCTCATAAATAAATAAATAAAATAAATAAATTGTCCTCCCTGTTAGGAAGTTTCTCCTTAATTCCAGGTTGCTTCTCTCCTTGATTAGTGTCCATCCATTGTTTCTTGTCCTGCCTTCAGGGGCTTTGGGAAATAAGCTGACCCCCTCCACTTTGTGGCAGCCCCTCAAATATTGGAATGCTGCTATCATGTCCCCCCCACCCAGTCCTTCTGGCCATACCCAATTCCTGCAACTGTTCTTCAGATGTTTTAGTCTCCAGGCCTTGGATCATCTTAGTTGCTCTTCTCTGCACTTTTTCCAAAGGCTCGGCATCTTTTTTGTCATGTGGGGACCGAAACTGGACGCAGTAAAATGTCGTGCATCTCGCCAAAGGCAACTCTTAAGCGGCTTAACAATCCAAGTGAGGTCCATTTCCTTCTATGGATACGCCTCCACGTATGACCACAGCTGACCCCCAAATTTCCATTGCTAAGCAAAAAAGTTGTTAAGTGAGTTTTGCCCCATTTCACAACCTTTCTTGCCCCAGTTGTGAAGTGACACACTGCCGTTGGTAAGTTAGCATCACAGTTGTTAAGTGGCTTCCCCATTGACTTTGTTTGTCAGAAAGTTGCCAAAGGGGATCACGTGACCCCGGGACGCTGCAACTGTCCTAAGTACATGTCAGTTGCCAAGCATCCCAACTTTGATCACATGACCACAGGGAGGTTGCAAGTATGAAAAAGGGTTTTAAGTCACTTTTTTCAGTGACTTTCTATTAGAATAGAATAGAATAGAATAGAATAGAATAGAATAGAATAGAATAGAATAGAATAGAATAGAATAGAATGAAGTAGAAGAATAGAATAGAATAGAATAGAATAGAATAGAATAGAATAATGGAATGAAGTAGAAGAATAGAATAGAATAGAATAGAATAGAATAGAATAGAATAGAATAGAATAGAATAGAATAGAATAGAATAGAATGAAGTAGAAGAATAGAATAGAATAGAATAGAATAGAATAGAATAGAATAGAATAGAATAATGGAATGTAGAAGAATAGAATAGAATAGAATAGAATAGAATAGAATAGAATAGAATAGAATAGAATAGAATAGAATAATGGAATGAAGTAGAAGAATAGAATAGAATAGAATAGAATAGAATAGAATAGAATAGAATAGAATAGAATAGAATAGAGTTGGAAGGGACCTTAGAGGTGATCTAGTCCAGGAGTAGGCAACCTTGGCTCTTTTATAACTGATGGGCTTCAACTCCCAGAATTCCTGAGCCAGCATGGCTCAGCTTGGAAACCTCTCCCTTTCCCCTCAGCGTGGCTGGCTCAGGAATTCTGGGAGTTGAAGTCCACCAGTCATAAAAGAGCCAAAGTTGCCTACCTCTGGATAGCCCAATCCCCTGCTCAGGCAGGAAACCCTACACCATTTCGGACAAATGGCTGTCCAGTCTCTTCTTAAAAACTTCCAGTGTTGGAGCATTCACAGCTTCTGGAGGCAGGTTGTTCCACTGGTTAATTGTTCTCACTGTCAGGAAAATTCTCCTTAGTTCTAGGTTGCTTCTCTCCTTGATTAAAATGAACGGTCGTAAATCAAGGACTACCTGTGCCATAATTTTACAGAAAGTTATTGAAAATGTGCTGTTTCTGTTGGCGTCCTTTGGGTGACTCTTGACTCCTGCTTCCCACCTGCCATTTCCTTGGCTATTTTTGGGGGAAGTAGTTTCCTTTTCCTTAGGACTGGCAGTGTTCCAAAATCTTCCAAAGGACTTCATGTCTAAGGCAGGACTAGAACTCAGGGTCTCCCGGATAGTAGCCCCTCACCTTTAACTACTACACCAACCAGGGAGATACAGTTCCAATCAATCTGAACGGTGTTTTAGCTCCTTTTAATCGACTGATGAAGATGTGCTTTTGACATCACACTGGGATAGAAATACAGGTCACATTTTTTTTCCAGCGCCATTGTAACTTCAAACGGTCACTAAATGAATTGTCATAAATTGAGGATTACCTGTATCAACCTCCAAAAATTTTGAATGGTGCATATTTGGGACATTAACCCCCAAATGCCAGACAGCAGAAATAAGTCTTTCCTGGTTTCAACAGATACTATTTCACATTGCAAAAAAACAGGGAGCCATCATCCCAAAGAACAAATGTTTATTTGTTGATGATGTAATATTGTTGGGTGATTGTGTTTTTTTTTATTAAAAGTTTTATACAATATATATCCCAAATCCTTCCCATCCCTCCCCCCTCCCCCACTTCCCAGAGCTGATTACAGGGTTACAAATAAACAATCATAATCTAACTAACATTACCCAACTATACAAATAACCAAATCCATAACGTACTTTAACTCCTTCCAAAATAAGTATTAACAAATTAGAAACAAAGATAATAATATAAACAAGTCATTATTAATTAAACCATAATACTAAAACTAATATAAATTCAACTATATTAAACTATTAATAATAATCTGAAATTTACTCATAAGCTAAATGATACTTTTTAGTCTCATATTTATTCTGAATATAATCTAGCCATCTTCTCCAAACCGAAATATATCTTTCTTGTGAATGATCCTGCAAATAAGCAAACATTAATTTGTTTATTAATGGAATGAAAATTGGTCAAACGAATACGTGCACTGGAAACATGTGTATTCTGCCCTTGTTTCTTTGGACGTTTACCTGTTAATACGGCTTGTTGCTTGTTTCACTTTTCATTGTTCCTTAACGAGCCCTCCAAAATTGGATTGATTTTTCATGACTGGGAGGAGTTACCAGGGAAAAATTGACACCTTTAAGCCGTTTAACAGACTGAATTTGAATCTGAAGCGACCATGAAATCTGTGTCTGGATCTAAATCTACCTCTGAGTCGAATCCGAATTTAAATCTGAATTTGAGCTCTACCTGTGAACCTAAAACTAAACCTGAATTTAAATCTGGATCTGAATCCACATCTGAATCCCTATCTAAATCTGGATTTAAATCGGAATCTATATCTGAAATCTGAATCTAAAATAAATCAGCATCCAAATCAGAATCAGAATAATCAGAATCTTCCTCTGAATCTAAACCTACTTCTGATTCTAAATCTAAATCTAAATCTGAATTGACAACTGAGTTGACTACATATGAATGAATCTACTAATCTGAATCTAAATCTAAACCCAAATGTAAAGGTAAATCTATTCACAATCTCCCTAAAAACAGACCCAACATTTAGATTCTGGGGGTGCCATCGTATCCTCAGCCGCATCCTCATGCTGCTTCTCAGAGGTCTGGGTTCAAATGCTCCTGGTTGGACACCTCCAAACAGAGACTCTCCCAGATAAAGCTTAGCTCACACCTCTGCTTTATTACCTCTTCTTGTGACCTGGAGGGGTGGGGAGGTGGGGGGGGATCAAGTGGGGAGGGAATATGCTGCCCTTAAGACAGAAAAGATCTGGAGATACTACGCGGCCAGACTCAACTAAGCCTCCCGAAGAATTTGGACAGGGTTAAAAGGAACTCCCCATCATGCACAGCAGTTTCCAGTTCCCAAGAGAGGCTGAAGCCTCAAGGAGAAGCTGCTTGGAACTTGGATGGTCCTTCGGACAAAGAAAACTCTGGCCAGCAATGATCTTGGCAGGTAAAAAAAAGGGGCTCTTTCGGGTGGCAGGCTGCAGCCTAGGGTGAAAGACACTCTGCAGACAAGGGCAATCTAAATAAATAGGGGTTGTGCCGCAGCTTCCTGAGCAGGAAAGATTTCAGTTTAGAACAGAGGCCCTCAACCTTTGGGGCACCAGGGACCAGTTCCGTAGTGAAAGGTTTTTCTGCGGACTGGAGAGTGCGTGGTTTTGTGTACTGCCTGCATCCCAGGGATGGGGCGTTGCTTGTTTGTGCGGACCGGTTGCTGGCATGCCGTGGCCCGATACCGGTCCACAGACCAGGAGTTGGGGACCACTGATCTAGGGTCTCCTGCTTGAGCAGGGGGTTGGACTAAAAGACCTGTAAGGCACCTTCCAACTCTTGTTATTCTCTTTTGTAATCCCGTGCCTTAGCAGAGTCCCAAAAACAGGCTGAGATACTCTTGTGATTTAGCACAGAGGTCCCCAACCTTTTGGGCACCAGGGACCAGTTTCATGGAGAGAGATTTTTCCGCGGACCGGAGAGTGTGTGGTTTTATGTGCTGCCTGCATCCCGCGGATGGGGCTTTGCTTGTTTGTGCGGCCTGGTTGCTGGCTTGCCAGGGCCCAGTACCGGTCCATGGACCTGGGGTTGGGGACCCCTGGTTTAGAGTATAGACAATCCTCGACTTACAATAATCCGTTGAGTGACAAGTCTCTCCATTCTCTCTCTCTCTCTCTCTCTGATTCTCTCTCTCTCTCTGATTCTCTTTTCTCTCATTCTCTCTCTCTCTCTCTCTCTCCCTCCCTCCATCCCTCCCTCTCTCCCTCCCTCCCTCCCTCCTCTTAGCTTATTTTCTAGGTTCATCTTGCATTGCAGTGGCTCAAACTGTGAACACTTATATTGGTGTCAGAACAGAACCCTCCAGACCTTTGGTGGGGAGGGAAGTCACCTTAACCCCAGTAGGAAGCATGGAAAACGTCTCTCTCTGCTGGTGGTACCGAGGTCCCATTCACAAGAAGAATGAAATCTTGACCTATCAAACATCCCCCATTCTTAGAGTCAGTTACAGCCAGGCTCATACAGGGCGCGAGCAGATACAGCTGGATTGCTCTCTGAGCATCACAAATTTAACGTTCAGGGACAGCGGCTTCTATGTGATCCTGAAAAAAAGAACGGTCCCAAACACCTATGAAAAGGGGGAAGTGCTGTTACAGATCAAAGGTAAATAGATAAGGGATCCTTTCATATTCTAGAACAGTGGTTCTCCACCTGTGGGTCGGGACCCCATTTGGGGTCGAACGACCATTTCACGGGGGTCGTCAAACAACGCAGTCTGCCATTTTTCCCCCCTTTTCCTTAGCTGTGCTACTCCCTTTTATTCTATTGGCTTTTGAAAGCCAATAGAATAGACTCTCTTGAATAGAGTCTAATTCTATTGGCTTTCAAAAGCCAATAGGAATTGCCCAGGCTGTCTCTGCCCTGATGAGCCCGCCAAAAGTCCCATTCTGCAAATGGTGCTGCACCAGTTGAGTAGTCCTCGACTTACGACCGGTTGAGTAGTCCTCGACTTACGACCGGTTGGGGGTCGTGGCATTAAAAAGGTTGAGAACCACTGTTCTATACAGTAGTGGTGGCGAACCTTTTAGAGACCAAGTGCCCCAAACCTGCCCCCCCCGCCTCCATCCCCACTCCGCCCTGCCCACTGGACCACCCACCACCTTCATGGCCCACCACAGATCACCCAAGCAGTTCAGGAGCACCATGGCGGCCCTGCAGCATTATCTGCACGCGGCGGGGTGCAAGGGCGGAGTTTTGTACTTCACTCTGCTGCTTTGCGTGGGCCATGCCCAGGGGCGACTCTCCTCCGGAGGGGCTGCTGGTGAGTATGGGGCCATGGGAGGAGGCGGGGCTGGGAAGGTGGTGCATGTGCCCACAGAGAGGGCTCCGAGTGCCGCCTCTGGCACCCATGCCATAGATTTGCCACCACTGCTCTACAGCATCCTGGACATCTCTAGAACCCACGTGACCTTTTGTACACACCTAGTAAGGTTGCGCTGTGATCTCAGGAAGCCCTAAAAGGAAGCGTGGCTCCCATTGAGGTATGTGGAGCTGGGGGTGTAGTAAGCCGAGCTGTTCTGCACCCAAATATCAAATACCTTTGACTTAGCCTAAAAACTTTGACTTAGCCATCAAAAGGTGGATTGTCTCCACCCCCAGCAAAAGTCCAAACAAAACAGGAAACGTAGTCAAGGCTGGTCTTTCCTTCCACTTTCTGCTTCATTGACCTGTAAAGTTTAGAGAAGCCCAAGTCACGTGACAGCTGTCAAGCCGGTGGGGAAAAAGGTATGAAATTGAAACGAAAGAATAACCATCAGAGCTTGAGTACAGGCCATCCTTGACATATGAATATTCATTTGGTGACCGTCTTAATGCAGGGGTCTTCAAACCTGGCCACTTTAAGACTTGTGGACTTCAACGCCCAGAATTCCTTTGGGCTGGCTGAGGAATTCTGGGAGTTGAAGTCCACAAGTCTTAAAGTGGCCAAGTTTGAAGACCCCTGGTTTAATGCTACAATAGCACTGAGAAAAGTGACTTACAACAGGGGTCTCCAACCTATGGGCCACGGCCCACTATTGGCCCATATGGGGTTTGCAACCAGTCCGCAAAGCCGGAAATGTTGGGGAACTCTGACTTATAACCAGTTGGAGCATCCCCATGGGTCACGTGTGATCGCAACTGGCATATATTTACGATGCTTGCAGGGTCCTTGCACTGTCTGGTCGAAACTGAACAGAATTAGGGGTGATTCTGGAAGACGAGCCTCTGCCCTGCATCAGTGGGGATGGACAGATTCTCCCTTGTTGCGATAAGATAAGATAAGATGATAAGATAAGATAAGATAAGATAAGATAAGATAAGATATAAGATGAGATGAGATGAGATAAGATATAAGATAAGATGATAAGATAAGATAGATAAGATAAGATAGATAAGATAAATGAGATGAGATAAGATAAGATAAGATAAGATATGATGAGATGAGATGAGATGAGATAAGATATAAGATATAAGATATAAGATAATATGATAAGATAAGATAAGATGATAAGATAGATAAGATAGATAAGATAGATGAGTGAGATAAGATAAGATAAGATATGATGAGATGAGATAAGATAAGATATAAGATAAGATGATAAGATAAGATGATAAGATAAGATAAGATAAGATGATAAGATAAGATGATAAGATGATAAGATAAGATAGATAAGATAGATGAGATGAGATGAGATTAGATGAGATAAGATAAGATATGATGAGATGAGATGAGATGAGATATAAGATATAAGATAAGATGATAAGATAAGATAGATAAGATGAGATGAGATGAGATGAGATGAGATAAGATAAGATAAGATAAGATAACCTTTATTGTCATTTTTATACTGTGGGCACAATGGCACACATCAAAAATGAAATTTAGTTGCCCACTCTCAAAGTGAAACACATACATGACACACACCTAAACATACTATGAACAACATATGTATAGACCCACATCCCTGCATATACGTAGCAAATAAATATTAAATATTGTCCATCTTGAATATATAATGGAAGGAGGAGGCTTGAGAGTTCGCAAGGTTAATGCTGTATGGGATGAAACTCCGGCTGAATCTGGATGTTCTGCTTCAGATACCACGAAGCCTCCTCCCAGAAGGTAACAAGGAAAACAGGTCGTGAAGAAGATGTGTAGTGTCCCAGATAATCTTACGGACCCTGCTCAAGCAACGCTGCTGTGCTATGTCCTGGATGGGAGGGAGGGAATTGCCAATAACCTTTTCTGCTGTCCTCACCACTCTCTGCACCGCCTTCCTGTCTGAAGCAGGGATGCCTCCAAACCAGACTGTGATGCTGAAATGCAGACTACTATGTTGTGCAAGAGTGCCCCACAACGTGCATCTTCTGAGTCCCTAGAAGATCTGCATGAAGCGAGGCCAGAGGCCATCGCCTGGATAGCTCAACTGGACATCCAGTTATGAGGCCCGGAGAAATTTTGTATATCATGACGTGGGTTGTGCGCATGTGTTTACTCCTGTTCTGTCCTGTTCTCCTCTTATGCTAAATAATAATAATAATAAATACAGGCGGTTCTCAACTAAGTTGAGGACTGCCTGTAAGAAATAATAATAATTGGTCTATGACTATAACCCAAACACTGAGTTTATCTTGGTTTCTTTAGAGTCTTCCAGAAAGGACGTAGAGGCTAAGAATATCACACTCACTGGAAAGGAAACAGCAGGAGTAGTTGTGGGTACTTTGCTGGGATTCATTACTATTGTAGGCCTGGTTTCATACCGGAAGTTAAAATCCCCTCCAAGGTGATTTCCGCTATTTATCTTTTTTAATATATATTTCCTAAAGCTGAAAGCAGAAACCCCACCTGCCCAAGTAAAACGGCCAGAGTAGGACAGGAATGATCAAACTCATGTGATCCTCGATTTAACAACAGTTCATTTAGTGACTCTTCAAAGTTACAGAGGGACTGAAAAAAAGGGACTTGCGACGGTTTCTCACACATACAACCATTGCAGCATCCCCGTGGTCCTGTGATCAAAATTCAGACGCTTGGCAGTTGATTCGTATTTGTGACGGTTGCAGCGTCCCAGGGATTGTGTGATCCACTTTTGCAATCTTCTGATGAGCAAGGTCAATGGGGAAGCTGGAAGAAAGAAAGAAAGAAAGAAAGAAAGAGAGAGAGAGAGAGAGAGAGAGAGAGAGAGAGAGAGAGAGAGAGAGAGAGAGAAAGAAAGAAGTGAGGGAAGTGAAGGAGGGAAGGAGGGAGGGAGGGAGGGAAGGAGGGAAGGAAGGAAAGAAAGAAAGAAAGAAAGAAAGAAAGAAAGAAAGAGAAAGAGGGAAGGAAGGAAGGAAGAAAGAAAGAAAGGAAGGAGGGAGGGAGGGAGGGAAGGAGGGAAGGAAGGAAAGAAAGAAAGAAAGAAAGAAGGAAAGAAAGAAAGAGGGAAGGAAGGAAGGAAGAAAGAAAGAAAGAGGAAAGAAGAAGGAGGGAGGGAGGGAGGGAGAGAGAAAGAAAGAAAGAAAGAAAGAAAGGGAGGGAGGGAGGGAGGGAAGAAGGAAGGAAGGGAAAAAGAAAAAGAAAGAAAGAAAGAAAGAAAGAAAGAAAGAAAGAAAGAAAGAGGAGGCAGGAGGGAGGGAGGGAGGGAGGGAGAAAGAAAGAAAGAAAGAAAGAAAGAAAGAAAGAAAGAAAGAAAGAAAGAAAGAAAGAAAGAAAGAATAGAAGCCAGCAAACCTCTACTTGAAACCATGATGGGAGACAGTCCCTCATGTGGCCTTAAAATTCTAAACCTGCCCACAACCTTCTAAAATTATGGCCCTGAACAGTTTTATAGGGGTAGAAATGCACAGTAAAGATATTTATTTTCTTAGCTTAACTTCCTCTTTTCTCTTCCTTCTTTAGGCATCCTACTGAAACTTATGCCCTATAATTCTGGGCAGAACGAAGGCTCAGGAAATTATTTGGATATCCTGTTTGGAAGAGAGAGAGAGAGAGAGAGAGAGAGAGAGAGAGAGAGAGAGAGAGAGAGAGAGAGAGAGAGCTGCAACCCCTTGTCTAATCTAGAGAAATTACGATCCATTTCCCCCTCTTCAAAATGGTGTTATTGGGATTCAGCCCACAACTGTTTGCAGACACAGCCTGATGGATTACAGCCTGGTTCCCTAGGGAGTAAAATTAAAAACCAGAAGGTCCACACTTAGAAGCAAGTGAGATGAGGAAAAAAGGGAAGTGACAAAATGGGTATTGTGATTTCCCAGTGCCCACCCTATGATGTGTATGTTTGCATCCGTAGCTGGACAACAACTACGAAAAACCAGTGTGTGGCTCATGATGCCATGTCTAACAAACGTTAGGTCATTTTGGAGCCTTCAAGGTTACTTCTCCTTCTGTTTCCGTGACCTAATTCTTGAAAAAAAAAAAAACACTTGGAGGTTCTAGAATAGAGACCACACCCAAAAGATCATCAGCATGGGAAAAAACCCTCTGGATTTTAGAAATTGCACCGTCCTCCTAAAAGGAAACTAGCCATCAGCTTGGACACCACAATAAAACAATTAAACACCACCACCCCAAATGCAATTTAAGCACCAGGAAACCCACCCAGATCTGGCGACAAAATGAAATTCTTGGATCTGCTCATGAAAATAAAACCTTCCAGAACAGACTTCTGTGGGTTTCTTCTTCAACCAAAGCTTGAATTTGGGTTTTGAGGTATCCTTGAGATGGTCCAACCTCCAGATTATAACCATGGCTACTCTCCACAGGCCTTCCTTCCTTGGTTCCCATCCACCCAGATGTTGAGAGCAATATAAGCATCCCTGATGTTCTTTCTCCTTCTTTCTAGCCTCCCTTGATGAGGGAGATGAACAAGTAGATGTAGTGAAGAAAGGCCAGAGCGCTGAGAATCCCTCAGATGGCCAACGGTCTTCTAGGCCCTGAAAATGGTCTTCTAATGCCACCCTTTGGAGATTGTTGTTGTTAATTGCGAAGTCGTGTCCGACTCATCGCGACCCCATGGACAACGTTCTTCCAGGTCTTCCTGTCCTCTACCATCTTCTGGAGTCCATTTAAGTTCACACCTCCTGCTTCAGTGACTCCATCCAGCCACCTCCTTCTCTGTCGTCCCCTTCTTCTCTTGCCCTCCATCTTTCCCAGCATTAGGCCCTTCTCCAGTGAGTCCTTCCTTCTCATTAGGTGGCCAAAGTATTTGAGTTTCAACTTCAGGATCCGGCTTTCTAAAGAGCAGTTGGGGATGATCTCTTCCCCTTTGGAGATAGGCTGGCATAATTCAGTTCCAGTAGAAGAGAATATTTGTAGCTCAAGGTTGAACTGTGGAATCCTAGGTGCTCTTGGATCTTGGTTCTCTTCTTGCAGATGTTTGAATATCAAACTAGGTGACATCGTCAGTGCTAGAGGGGAGTGGGGTCTGTGAGGAGGAGGAGCAGGAGCAGGAGCAGGAGGAGGAAGACAATGACGATTATGGGGTTGTTGATGCTCTCTGAGCTTGGTGATTTTCTTGGAGACGTTTCAATACCCAACTAGGTAATATCATCAGTGCTAGAGGGGAGGGGGATTTGTGGGGAGGAGGATGAGGAGGAGAAGAGGAGGAAGAGGAGGAAGAGAAGGACAGTGACTATGTCCTTGACGCTCTCTGAGCTTGATGGTTTTTTGGGGGACGTTTCAATGCCCAACTAGGTAATATTATCAGTGCTAGAAGGGAGGGGGGTTGTGGGGAGGAGAAGGAGAAGGAGAAGGAGAAGGAGAAGGAGAAGGAGAAGGAGGAAGACGACGACAATGATGACAATGGGGTCCTTGATGCTCTCTGAGCTTGGTGGAAAGGAAAATTATCCTTTTTTGACAAGCTATGAGCAAAACCCAGAGAGAAGAGGAAGTGGAGGAGAAGGGAAAAAGTGGGAAGACCTCAGCCAAAGGAAATGGAAGTGAAGCAAGCTTGCATGTTATCCTGGACTAGAGTTTGGCAACTTTTGTGTTGTAGATTTATCCTGTTTGCGATAGAATTTTAGTCACCCGGGATGATACAATTCGCTTTACTGTTTTGAAGCTCAGCTGGACACTTAGGATACAAGCTGAGAAGAATCAAGTGGGACTGGAGGCACTTAACAATGGCGGCAATTTGCTTAAACAACTGGATCAAGAAAGGTCGTAAAACGGGGCAAAACTCACATAACAACGGTCTCACTTAGCAGTGGAAATTTTGGGCTCAGCTGTCGTCGTAAATGGTGAACTACAGGCAGTTCCTGACTTACAAAAGTTCCTTTGGTGATTGTCTTGCTTAGCGACATCAATTTTGGGCTCCACTGTGACCGTAAGTCGAGGACTACGTATTCCTATACAGTACCTCCTTGAAAATCAGAGCCCAGTGTTCTTAGTAAAGCCTTGGAGGACCCAGTAGAGTTCAACCAGACCAGGGATGGGGAACTTGGCTGTTTTATGACTGGTGGACTTCAACTCCCAGAATTCCTGAGCCAGCATGGGGGAACTATGTCCCCTTCATGACTCGTGGACTTCAACTCCCAGAATTCCTGAGCCAGCATGGGGGAACTATGGCTCCTTCATGACTTGTGGACTTCAACTCCCAGAATTCCTGAGCCAGCGTGGCTCAGCATGGCAACCTCTCCCTTTCTCCTCAGCATGGCTGGCTCAGGAATTCTGGGAGTTGAAGTCCACCAGTCATAAAAGAGCCAAGGTTGCCTACCCCTGAACCAGACTAATTGGTTGTGATCCGGAAACCGAACACACAATTCTACAAGTCCAGTAGAAAAAGCAGGAGCGGACATGCAAGGTAGTCCTCAACGTATGACCACAGTTGAGCCTGAAATGTCTACTGCTAAGCAAGACAGCTGTCCAGTGGGTTTTGCCCCATTTTACGACCTTTCTTGCCACAGCGCTTAAGCAAATCACTGTGGTTGTTAAGTTAGTAACACGGTTGTTAAATGAATCTGGATTTCCCCATGGATTTTGGTTGTCAGAAGGTCGCAAAAGGGGATCACATGAGTCCGGGGACACTGCAACCGTCATAAATATGAGCCAGTGGCCAAGCCTCGGAATTTTGATCACGTGACGACAGGGGAGGCTGCAACAGTCGTAAATGTGAAGAACGGTCTTGATTCACTTTTTACAGTGCTGTTGTCACTTCTAACGGCCACTAAATGAATAGTTGTAAGTTGACAACTACAAGAGGGACCTGTTGTGTTGAGACCTTCACCTTCGTTCTCTTAGCTGCCCTTAATTGAAAATAATTTGTTTTGAAGATAATTCGTTGAAGAGCTGTGGATTAACCGCTTTCCAGTTTCAATTCTTAAGAAATTAATAGCAGAACAGAACAGAATAGAAATACAGACTAGACTAGACTAGACTAAAACAGAACAGAAAAGAATAGAATAGAAATACAGACTAGACTAGACTAGAACAGAGCAGAACAGAATAGAATAGAATAGAAATACAGACTAGACTAGACTAGACTAGACTAGAATAGAATAGAATAGAAATACAGACTAGACTAGAACAGAACAGAACAGCAGAGCAGAACAGAACAGAATAGAATAGAAATACAGACTAGACTAGACTAGACTAGACTAGACTAGACTAGAAATACAGACTAGACTAGACTAGACTAGAATAGAATAGAATAGAATAGAATAACAGAGTGGGAAGAGACCTTGGAAGTCATCTAGTCCAACCCCCTGCCCAAGCGGGAAACCCTATACCATTTCAGACACGTGGCTGTCCAGTCTCTTCTTAAAAACTTCCAGTGTTGGAGCACCCACAACTTCTGGAGGCAGGTTGTTCCACTGATTAATTGTTCTCACTGTCAGGATAGTTTCTCCTTAGTTCTAGGTTGCTTCTCTCCTTGCTTAGTTTCCATCCGTTGCTTCTTGTCCTGCCTTCAGGCACTTTGGAGAATAGCTTGTCCCCCCTCTTCTTTGTGGCTGCCCCTCAAATATTGGAAGACTGCTTTCATGTCCCCCCTCATCCTTCTCTTCATTAAACTAGACATACCCAATTCCAGCAACCGTTCTTCATATGTTTGAGTCTCCAGTCCCCTGATCATCTTCTCTGCAACAAAGATGTCAACAAATGGTGGCAGGAAGCCATCTTTTTGCTCCCATTGGCCTATAGGACTCCTCTTTTTCCAGGTTTGACAGTCATGCTGAAGCAAAATGCCTGATAAATCTAAACTTTGCCCCTTCGTCCAACCGGTCAACCCTGAGGATGACACACCCCAACATGACCACCAGGCAGGAAAGCCTCTTCAGCGGTAGACAAGATGACCCAACTGATTTTCGTCTCATCTTTCCAAAATTTCTGTCAGGCTTGTTTTTTTTCTTCCTGACAGTCATCAGGCCTGTGGTGAAGATGAGGGGGACAACGATGGGGAAACCAACTCACTAACAGCAAACGGCTTACTCAATCTTCTCTGCAAAGCTTACATGTTGCCACACAGACATCTAGTTGCAACTGAGCAACTGGCCAGGAGGTGAAGAGATGAGAAAAACGTGTTGCATTTTACTAAGGTAGCATTTCTCAATCTTGGCAACTTGAAGACTGGTGGACTTCAGCTCCCAGAATTCCCCAGCCAGGGATCATTAAGGCCGAGGTTAGCCAGTTAGGAGAGTAATACAGGTAGTCCTGTAGTCCATTTTACTAAGGTAGCATCAAGTTGGACTTGATGACCTCCAAGGTCCCTTCCAACTTTTTTATTATTATTATTTATTCCCTTCTCTCCTTCTGCTCACATACCCAAGGCTCAAACCACATCAACGCTGATCCAGAAACCCTGAAATACAAGATGGTTGCTGGTCCCTTTCCAGTGGGCTCCTCGTGAGGATGAGTGGGATGGCCGTCATGTTCAGATTCTGCCTTAGTCATTTTAGGTGGTGTAACCACCCAAAACAACAGAAAAGGGAGAGGAAGTGTTTGTGATCACTGTAGAATCACCCACACCCCTTGGGTAACGGTTCTTCCTTCCTTC